TTTTCCAATCCTCTGGCCACTGCTAAGTTTTCCAAACTTGCTGGTATATTGAGTTTAGCACTTTAACAGCATCATCTTTTAAGATTCTAAATAGTTCAACTGGAATGCCATCCCCTTCACTGGCCTTGTTGTTAGCCAGGCTTTCTAAGGCCCACTTGACTTCACTCTCCAGGATGTCTGGCTCAAGGTCAGCAACCACACTATCTGGGTTGTCTGGGACACCCAGATCTTTCTGGTATAATTCCTCTTTGTTTTCTGTCCACCTCTTCTTGATGCCTTCTGCATCTGTTAGTTCCCTATTTTTAATATTTGTATACCCACTGTGGTGCTATATTTAAATACTGTCTTTTGATGATGTACACTGCACCTTTGGTCCTTTTTAAGAAGAAAGACGGGATAAAAGTGTTTTAGATAGATAGATAGATAGATAGATAGATAGATAGATAGATAGATAGGCTAGAAAATGTCTAAAAAGTATGCGGTGCTAAAATAATTCTTGGTTGTCCATAGGAGGATATCACAGACATACCAGAGCTTGCTGACAACCTCAGGTTATTTAGGTAAGCAAAAAAAAAAAAAAAAAAGAAGCAAATAACAGAATTATTTTGATTGATTTATTTATAACCCCACAAGGATTAAAGAACTGTAATGGACGCTGATTATACAGAAAGCGGAATATCGTGAAAAGTTGCATAAATCATTTCCCCCCAAATCTGATAAAGGTATATTGGCTTCCTTAATGGTTTTCAATAAGATGGTAAATATACGTATTTCTTTAGTAAAGTTTTGTGCCAACCTCCTGTTAAAAGGGGGGGAAAGAAACCTTTCAAAATTATTTACATAATTGAAACGATGCAATTATATTACCAAAAAAACCTTAAGAAATTCAGATCCATTGAAAGCAGTGATGTGCAACAACTGACGTGTTTTCCTTTCATAAATATTTACATATTTCTTTTTGAGAAATTTACTTTAAGTTTACCAAAAGAGCAGTATCTCTTTGTGGATCTGTGTTTGTGTATGTTTTCTGTCAACCAAAATACTGTGTCATGATAAGGTTCACATACGTGAGGCCCACGTACTGTTAGTAAGGACCATGTGGCTAGGGGGATGTGCAGTGATAGTTCTCCATTGGTGCAGAACTGCAGGAAAACTGCTTTATTACATGTCTAGTGCAGAGCCTGCCCTGGGAATTTCATCATATTCAGGAGACAGGACAGATCTATGTAGGATGTACTGCTTTCTTGGGCCTATTTATAATCAGGAATTACTGTGGAACAAAATAGAAGCAATTACGAAAATTTGCAAAAAAACTAGAGAGAGAAAGAGATGGTTGAAAAGTTTAGGCGGTGCGAAATATATCAGGCAAATTCCTTCCTGGGACCATACTGCTTTGAATATATCTTGCCAGACATAGAACGTATGGAAAGCTTCTCTGTTTCTTGACACAACTACATGTGCTGCTAGGGGAATCATGTAAAGTAGTTTGCTGCTTGTATACCATCCCATAGTACTTAAAGTACTCTGTGGGCAGTTTACAGTTTTAATTATGGCTGGCTACAACTGGCTTCCTCCCCCCCCCCCCCGGGGGGCTGGGGAACATTGAAAGGATAAGTCAACCTCAAACTGGCCACCTGATTTATGAGCAGAAATTTGACAGCAGTACTGCAGTTTAATCACTGTGCCAGGAGGCTCCTAAAGCAATCTTGCAGGATGTAGGGATTAATGTATATAGAATGGGGAGAAAACTTCTGTTGTACCCATTGGACCAACTCTGAAACATTGATCCACTATACTGTCCATACCTCTGTTGTACTGATGTTCTGTTGTACCCATTGGACCAAGTCTGAAACATTGATGCACTAGTTTATTGGAATTTTATGTTGCTTGCAACAAGCTAAGCTTATGTACCACTCAGGCCCTGGCCAAATAAGAGAAATGTTCTCTAGTTCTTCCTATACTGTCCATACCTCTGTTGTACTGATTCACTGTCTTGTGATATATATATATATACCAGTGTGAATGTCCCAGCAGGTTTTAGTGGTTCCAATTTATTTCCACCTATTTGACTCATTATGGCCAGTTACACCATGGCACTGGTTTATTATTTTCAAGGGGCAGTTTAGCCCCTTGATTTATATATATTTTTAAGATAGATATTTATCGATACATTGATATATCAGGAAGGGGTTTCTGTTTGGAACAGTGCCCTCTGTTGCACTAGTTGCTCCTGTAGAATCGCATGGCACCACCGTCTATGGCACACACTCGGCAGCAAGGGCAGCCTCTGCTACCTAAGCAGACATGCAAACAGGCTGTGGAGAAAGAAAGAAAGAAAGAAAGAAAGAAAGAAAGAAAGAAAGAAAGAAAGAAAGAAAGAAAGAAAAATCCACACATCCTGTACTGGTAATCTCCCCAATACAGTAATATACTTTTAACAATGTATTGATGTATCAGCTGGGAACATTTTAAAAAATTAATATGCATGCCACAGAAATGGCAGCCACCTTCCTGGCTTTGATTCTGAAAAGAAGCTGGGCAGGTTGTGCACACAGGCTAACCCAGGAAGGAATGCACCGGTACAACAGAGGTACAGAATAACACAATCCTCCCAGCCAGGGGGAAATGTTCCCCACTTGCACCGCTAGCCAGGGAAATGTTTCAGTCTTGCTTGTGCATCATGTGACCTGAAAAAAAATACAACTAACTATCTGGAGGATACAGGTTTAGAGAACATTTCCCTCATGTGACCAGGGCCTCTGTCTCTTACACTCAGGACATCTTGCTGAGTTCAACAGAACATAAGTAAATGTGAGTGCCTTGCATAACACCAGTCCTGTTCCATTTTAAGACAGTTACAAATGCAAACTGGCACTTTCCTTCATGTCAACAAATCTGTCCTTTCTTTAATTATTTTTCTCCCTGCCCCATTTCCCCCTCACTATCCCCTGACTTTTTCATTGCTGTTAATAATACTACTGTTGCTGTTTAGAAATACACAGACCCCTAGGATTAACATAACGGTTTTCAATTTTACTCTAGATTGTGATAGGTTTGCAGAGCCGACCAGCTGTATTAATTTGTCATGGGGGAAAACAGCACAGATTCTTGTAGCACAGGAGTGGGCAATTAATTTCTATGGGGGGGGCATGAAAAATCTGAACTGTGTTTGGGGGCCGAACCAACTTTACTTAAAAATAAAATGAAACAGTTATGTTATGATTGTTTTTATTTTAAACTTGTTAATCTTCACAAATACTAAAGAGGGTTTTTTTTGCAGTATATTAAAGATAAGCAACTGAACAACTTTAGACAAAAAGCTATAAATGGTTTTCATGTTCAAAACTGTCCCTGGGCCAGACAGGAGCGGCTCGCAGCTCGTAGGTGGCCCTCGGGCCGCACTTTGACCAGGTCTGTTGTAGCATCTCAAAGATTAATGAACTTTATTTTGCAAGAGCTTTCATGAACTTCCGGCCCATTTCATTTAGTGCATGGTTGTAGCAATAATTTCAAAACAATTGTGAATTGCAGGTGGGAGCAGATAAAGCATTACTTGTATAATTAATATCAAAGCTGTGTGCACTGATAATCAAGGCAAACTTCTCAATGACTCAGAGACAGCTCCATTATAGTCATTTTATTTGCCCTAGCAAATTGCTAGCTTTTTCTTTCATTGAAGTAACCGATTCAAAATTTTAATTGCATGAAACAATAAGATAAAAGAGCATAAAGCTTTGAATACAATCAGGTATTTTGGTTTACTTGGTGATCATGATAGCTTTCCCAGAAATCAAGTAGCTTGTTTCAGAAGCCAAATAAAAAGCTGTCTTTAAAGAGAAGAAGAATAATTCCTGCTCAGAGGCAAATGATTAAGAAAAGCATTCACATTTGTAAAACAGTGACAGCTTTGAAGGTAAATATACAGGGGACACAGCCCAAAGTCCTTGTGTGTAAAGGATCTGGCATAGGGAGGTTTCTGGGGCATAATCCTGGGTGACATCCTGTGCCACTGGACAAGCCATCTTGAGTACCTGAAAGGAATGTCACAGATTGAGTTCTTCATGTTGAGTATTAAAATGGAAACAAGGGAACTGCAGGTTGGACGTGTGTGTAGTTAGAATTCAGCCCGCTATGTAATATGCTAGAGAGTCTTTGCAAATAAGTAGTAAGTCCATCTTTCAGTTTGCAATAGAAATTCTGCCAGAAAGTCCCTCTTGAGGTAGAAAATAACTCTGTCTTAAAATTAGTCAGATTCCCCCCCCCACACTTTAAGATTCTTTTCTCAGTTAAAGCCACTAAAAGTCTTGAAAATAATCCACCTCCCACCCAGTGGTCCCCCACAAAATCTTCCCAGTCATACAGGGGAATGAATTCTGGCGCACGGTTGATAAGCAGTGTAAAAAGAACTGAGCGTTGATGCTGTTATGCTTGACTTGCAGATCCAGAAAGTTGTCACTGAAAGGCTCCAAGCAGTATTGGTTTGTCTTCAAGGACACGTCGGTTTCTTATTTTAAAAACAAAGAAGCTGAACAGGGAGAACCCATTGAGAAGTTGAACCTACGAGGTAGAGCTGGCATTTTTATACTACGTTTCATAAGGAGCAGATTTTTGTATATGGCTTGAGAGTGAGCAACAGTGCACATTTTTCTTCTTTCCTGGTAGCGTGCTCATACATGTGCAGTTTAATCTGCTGTTACACCAAACTGTGATTCAACACTTTGTTTTTTGAACCAGTACTGTTGCTTTAGGTTTGCTTGTCGCCAGGTCAGTAAAAGATGATATGACACTTATGACATTGTGTTCTAGTGAAACTGAGTAACCTGTTAAATGGTTGTTGTGGGTTTTTTCGGGATCTTGGGCCGTGTTCTGAAGGTTGTTCTTCCTAACGTTTCACCAGTCTCTGTGGCCGGCATCTTCAGAGGACAGCACTCTGTGCTCTCTCTGTCCTCTGAAGATGCCCATGGCCACAGAGACTGGTGAAACGTTAGGAAGAACAACCTTCAGAACATGGCCAAAGAGCCCGAAAAACCCACAACAACCATTAGATCCCGGCCGTGAAAGCCTTCGCGAATACATTAACCTGTTAAAGCTGTGGGCATCGGTACTATAATGTACTGCAAGTTAAAAGGTTGGACAAACCAGCTTAGAGCTTGATCACATCTGGCAAAAGAACCCCAGTTACACTCATGTGGCTGTTATTTTACATTGTTTTATAAATTTCCGAGCATGTGACACACGACCAAAATCAGCTCATTTTTCTGGCCAGCAGTTTATTTCCAGTTTATTTTCCCCTCACTGAGAGAGTGGTTTTAAATTGCGACGATGTATTGATTCATTCCTTACTGGTATGGCATGTGTGCGCAGACCTGTCAGTTCTTCTCTCATTCTCAGTCTGTAAGGGAGGCAACGACCATAATTGTCGCATGGCTGCCCTGTAATTATTTTTTTATTATTTTTTTCATAGGCAATGCATCAATACATTGATATACCAAGGGCTATAGTACAGGGACAGTTTTGGCATTGTTTAACTTCCATGTGCCCTTTGTCTTGTCTCTACTTCATGCCTCATCCTACTGTCTGCCAAGTGGCACAGCCGTACGGGCGGAGGACAGGACCATGGTGGGCAGTGTGTTGCTTCCATGAGACATAGGCACCAGAGATCAAATGGCCCTGAATGGGAATCCCTTTCCGCCATTTCAATGTATCCATTCGGGATTTTTTAAAAATAATAATAAAGAAGGGGCAGCAGTGCTCCAGGAAACATCAGAGGAAATAATTCAATTCAAAGGTGTAACCAGGAATAATGTTTCAAATAGGAAGAATTGAATCACTACAGGTAAAAACAACGTGAACATTCCTGCCAGTTTATTTTGTTTAATTATTCAACTTATATGCCACCCACACTACTCAAAGGTCTCTGGGCGGCTTACAGCAATTTAAATACAGTAAAAAGATAAAACAATTAAAATATATATTTTTATATTTATGTACCACATGTATATTGGTAAGAACAGAGGTATGGAAAGATTGGATATAACTGGCATTCTTTCAGCAGGTGTGATTAGGCCCTTAGTTTTGAAGGTCTATGATTGTGAAACAGAGTTGGGGGCCTGTGGTTCTCTAGGTCCATTTGGACTCCACTTCCCTTCAGCCCCACCCAGCCATGCCAGTGTTGAGGAGTTGTGAGTATAATTGTTTGTCAGCGCCTGGGTTCAGGGCTTTACTTCTAGAAATAAAGTCATGTCTTCAGTGTAAATCAGAACATGTATACAGAGTGTAGGGCATGTAATAATGGGCTCAAGTTACAGGAAGCCAGATTTTGGTTGAATATTAGGAAAAAGTTCCTAACTGTTTGAGCAGTATGACAACGGAACCAATGACCTTGGGAGGTGGGGAGCACTGCTCCAGCTGCAGAAGCATTCAAGAGAAAGACAACCATCTGTCAGATTTGGATTCCCTCACTGAACAGAGGGTTGGACTTAATAGCTTTAAGGGCCCCTGCCAGCAAAATTATTCTATGATCCTATGCAGACTTCAGTAAATTCTTTTTAGTATTTCCCAGTTCACGATTTGGAGAAAGATACAAAATGAAATTCTTCCCTGCCCTCTTAGAAATATAATGGTTAGTCATCTGTAGACTTTAAATTTAAACTCTGCTATCACCTGTAGATGACTCATGCTCCAAGGAGGATGGATGGCTCACCTGGAAATTTTGAGATGAGTCACCCAGCCCTGCGTCAGCCGTAAATGGACCTTGTTATTATCTCTTGTACGAGCTGTCATCTTTGTTTTTCTCATTCTCTCCTAGTTCCCCTTCATGTTATTCTGATTGCCTCGTCGTTCATCCTTAAAGCGGATAAAACATAACCTCACTTATGGCTTCTCATGTGTTCTTTCATTCAGGATGTGAAATTGTCCCCGATGTAAGTGTATCAGGGAAAAAATATGGAATTAAGTTACTTATCCCTGTTGCTGACGGAATGAATGAAGTACACTTGAGATGCGATAACGTGAGTAGCAGAAATAGTCAACCGATTCTATAGAAAGGTTTAATATCCTTTGTGTGCATTGCAGTAATATGTGGGAGATCTAATTAAGGTCAAGGAACCTGGCTGAAAATAGCAAGCAAGCCATAAACAGAGCAGAGATAATATCAGATGAGAAAAATGTCTTCACCAAAATGGAAACTGCAGTGAATGAGATAACATTGCAATAGAAGCAACAAACAAAATTACAGATTGGCCTGCATGTATAGGCTTTGGCTTACTGAGAGGGCCTTCTCAGTGGCTGCTCCTTGCCTTTAAAATGAACTGCCCAGAGAAGCCAGGTCAACCCCACTCCCCATCGTCCTCCATCATAGGCAAAGACCTTCCTTTTCATTCAGCCTTTGAAGCAAGAAATGGGAGTTCTAGGGATATGTGAGCTATTGAATTTAGAGCTGTTTTTAATGTTTTAAATATTGGTTTTTATTCATGGTTTTTAATATTATTATATATTCAGTTGTTTTTCCTTTGGTGTTTTTAATGTGTAGTTTTAATTGACTGTGAGCTGCTTTGAGTCTCCTGTGGAAAGAAAGGAGGCAGGCAGGCAGACATACAGAGGGATAGATAAAATTACAATACAGTACAATACAAATGTGTTTGGCTTATGTGACCTCACAGTTGTACCCAGCCTGTGGTTGAGGATATTTGTGTACAGACTGTGACTGCATGGCAGGTTTCATGTGGCTGTTGATGCACATGAAGTAAGGAATCTAAGTTGTGTAATTTTAATTAGCCTTGCATAATTTGTTTACATTTTGGCATGTTGAATTTCTTCATCACAGATCTTGAGAAGATTTTCATTAGCAAAAAAAAGCTTCCGGGGGTGGGGTGGGGAGACATTTCTCAGTATGCAGACTGGTTTTTGCTTATAATTTGAAGCCAGCTTCAAAATTAACTCTGGTGATTACACATCATCGTCCATTTTATACTTAGACTGATGCTTCTGTGGTTCTTCTTTTGCAGCTTTCCCCCACTCTCTGATGCACTGATTAGTGGAACATCAACAATTCCTGTTCTTCTTAGCAGTAGCTGTATTGGTAGTGTCCAAGTTCAGATATTTTAGTGGTTAATGATGGCACAAAAAGGCATGTCATCTGACATTTTTTAAAAAATCAACTTAGAATTCAAGATTGGGTCAGCATAGGAACATGAGAACCAGCTTGGGTCTGACTAGAGAGCCATCTTGGCCATAATCCTTCTTTCCCGCTAGCAGGCTCCCATGCAAGGCATGAGTGCAATAGCGCTCTTCTCCTGTTGTTCTGTAGTGCACTGCCTCTGAACCTAGACATTGCTTACAGTCATTGAGGCAATTGTGAGCAATTACTAATCTGATCTTCCAGGAGGAATTTGCCTGAACTCATTTGTGAAGTCATCTGAATGAATGTGTGCAAAGTCAAACTTCTGTTTCAAAAGTTGGAAACATGTTCCCCACCAGTGTTAGGAAGCTGCTCTTACCAGTCCTAGCCAGCATCACCAGCAGCGAGGGATAATGGGAATTGCAATGTAGCAGCATCTGGAGGGTCCCATTCCTTACACATATCTGCTATATTACTTCCAGAATTAGGGTCTGTGCCTAACCTTACTCGAGAAGCTTGATTTCACATTCTAAATGATTGCACACAGACTTTTGATGCATACATTGTTTGGGGGGTTTGTTCTTCAACAGAACTCCGCTCTTTGTTGCAGGAAAATCAGTATGCCAGATGGATGGCTGCTTGCGTTTTAGCTTCTAAAGGAAAAACAATGGCGGACAGCTCCTATCGTCCTGAGGTCCACAACATCCTGTCTTTCTTAAAAATGAAAAGCAGAACTGCTTCTCCCCAAGAAGTTACAAATGTGGAAAGCATGGATGTGAAACCAGAATGCTTTGTCTCACCCCGATATGCAAAAAAATACAAGTCAAAGCAGGTAATGGGGGAGAGAGAGGGGGGAGAGAGAAAGCACTGCTGGATCTTTTGAGGTGGTATTCCAAGGTGACCCATGTTAGTCCTGCTTAACTACGGGAAAACCTGGATTCTAGGGTTCCTAGTTGTTTGTTTTCATCTGCAGGGTCATGAACTGAAGTTCTGCAGATGAAAATCCAAAGAGCCAGGATGTTCCAACAGGCAGCCTATTGGACTCAAATATGGGAGATTGAGGTTTATAACTGGCTCTTCCTGTATTCACACTATATTGGCCCTATGTGAGAATGTAACTGCACAGTATAGGAAAAATGCAAATGAATCTCCTGTGAAATCATACTCAGGAAGTCATGTTTCTCTGGGTAAATTTGCTTCAGCCAACAACATAGAAGTCACAGAGAGGAAAGAGGAAATTAGCCTTGTTTGCAGTTTGTTCACTATTTGAATCCTCTTCTCCCTACACCTGGTACCTAAGTCTGCTTGTTTCCCTCTTCCCTTCTCATTCCATTCCATTCCATTACTTTCATTTAAAAGAAAAAAGTGAGGAATTGGCAGAGAGCGATGAGGAAGTTTTCAATTCAGTCTTATTTCCAGCTTCTTAAAATAGCTCTGGACAGATTTGAAAGAGGCAAGGTTAGAGCAAAACTACCTTAATACTTCCTTTTCTCTCCCTGATAATTTCTTGCACTTGATTAGCCATTATTTATCAACATAGTTGCATCCTAATTCCCTCCCTACACCCAAATTCCCTTCAACAAAAGGGACATAAGACTCTACTGTAGGGTAAGGGGACACTGTATAAATGTTTGATATGTATATGACCCAATTTTCCATGTCCAGTATCTTAAGCAGAGGGATATTGGGTATCCGCTAGGAGAACTTATCAAGAAATATTACTAAAAAATATACACAAAGCTTTCATAGTTTTGTTCCTAACAGAAGATTATGATTCAGATTAGCCATCAGTGCAAAAGTGCTTGATTCCACTGCTCCCAACACACACATTGTTTTAAACAAAGGTTATAAAATGCAATACAATATTATATCTAAAAGACAGCTCACAGTCTTGTAAGTTAGTTCCCCACCATCTGTAAAATATGAACTATGATGATCTGGAAGGCTGAGCAGATTGTTCAACACCAGGTAGTGGCAAAACACAGAGCTGGACCCATGCTGAAATACAGCTTTGCAGCTGCTTAATGCCACACTGTGTAGCACAATAATATAAACACAACACCACCTGTACCACCCAGTGTTATGCTATCAACTATAAACATCAGGGAATCTTTCCATCCTGGTGCTTTGGAACATCACTGTGCCATTCAGACCTTGAACTGTATGCCTTGGAGTAGTAATGGAAAATAAAATGGCAGGGAGTTTGGAAGCCACACGGCCTACGTTTCTTGTTGTCTCATGGTTATTCAAAGAACAAGGCTACCTGTATGGTTTGAGATTGCACCGCTTTGTCTGATTTTCCGTGGAGCATTATGTCCTTGACAGAAATCTTGCTTCCTGAAGAGAGAGTGAAGTGGACATTGGTACCCCTTGACAACATGCCTAGTGCCCACATGATGCTGTTCTTTTGTTTTCTGCATCTGCTAATCAAAGCCTGTATTTTCCCTTCTGTGTGTTTTCTTTTTTTAAAAAAGCTGGCTGCTCGCATTTTAGAAGCCCACCAAAACATTGCTCACATGCCACTTGTGGAAGCCAAACTGAGATTTATCCAGGCCTGGCAGTCACTTCCTGAGTTCGGCTTGTCCTACTACATCGTAAGGTAAACGTAGCATGTTGCTGCCCCAGGTGGGAAAGGTTTCTCAGGTCCCTTTCACCTGTTGGAGTTGAAAATGTAAGTGCTGAAACATTTCTGACTGTTTCACGTTCTCTAAATGCTCGACTTTTTAATGCACTTCCTATTTTCCATTGGGTTGATACACATCCTGAGGCAGTTACAGTACCAGGGGTTCACCATCTGCTCTCCCCCCCCACCTACCGTATGGCCAGTAAAATAAAGGGCATGGAGATTGTTGCTCTTTCACACAGTGCCCCCCCAACATGGGTACCCACCAGGGTATTTTAGGAAGTGATAATGGCAGTGACATGATGCCGATTAGAGGATCAGAGCCATCATGGTGGCCCATGAGTGAAAGAAGGGGTCCACCAGAAGTTACTGTGCTGAGAACCTTCTGAATCCTGTTACTACCACTGTTCCAACCATCATGTTAATAGTTGGGAGTTAATTCACTGCATATGCAACCTATCCCAGATAAACAGATTGCAAATACCGCCTTTTTGGCTGAGATATTGTCGATCCAAATGCCTTGTGTTCTCTTTTCCAATTCTGCAATATCTATGCTGGAATCTTCCTAAAGCTCCTGTAAACTGGCACAGTGTCACTGAGGGTAGAAGGCATTAATGGTGAAACTGAGGAGAGAATTAAGTCATTCTTGCTTCCAAGAAGGATACACAAATATATATCAGGGGAATATGCTCTCTCTCTCTCTCTCTCGATCTGTGTGTGTGTGTGTGTGTGAGAGAAAGAGAGAGAGAGAGAAAGAAAGAGAGAGAGGAAAAGGTAACAATGCATAGGAAAACACCCACATGTTCTTTTTCTCTACCACTCCATTTTATATTTCTGAAATTTTGTACTCTTCCAAATTTTTCCACGTCAATGGTCATAGTATACCTTACCAAGAATGTCTGTCATCCTGTTGCCCACATACAATTACTCTCATTTCCTCACGCTTCCATTCTCTGTGACTCCAAATTGAGATGCCAGAGAGTCAGAGTGTTCAGAATGGGGATCAAGTATAGGAAGATGTATAAGGCAACTCCTCTGAACTCTAAGCCTATCCCATAGCCTCGCTGGTAGTGCCATCCCAGAATTCATGAATCAGGACCTGTCATGCTGGTGTTCACTTTGGTTTGCCCCCCCCCCAGGGCCAAGGGATAAATCCATCCCCAGGGGTCTCCCGTGGAGCCACTTAGAAATGCTCAGGGGATCCTTTGCTTGCTTAGAGAGAACACCAGCATTTCTCAAACGCAGAATTGACGTGATCAGGGAACTTGGCTCAAGACCCAGATGAGTTGCTCCACTTGGAAATTTCACAAGGTAAACAAGAGCCTACAAGGGCAAAGGAATGTGGGCACAGCCGTGGCCAGTTCTCCACTGTGGGAACCTGTGCGCCTGCCTCTCCCTCCCTTAGAGGCACCATCCTGCTTTTTGGAATCTTTACTACCACATCCCTTCCTTCGGTTCATGTAGCTCAGCCCTCCTGATTTAAAACATGGAAGTGTCAGGTGCAAGTATAGACACCCGTCGTGACAGGGATCTCTCAGGGACAAAAGACCTTGGGTTTTTACACTCCTACTGCTAGCTCAGGATTAGAGTTTAAAACAGTATTACAACCTAAGGGGCGGCGGGGGGGGGAGTGCATGTGACTAATCCCATTGGAAAGCCCCATGAGCTTTCAGCAGGTGCCTCTTCCAAGTAGACAGCTCCTGATATGACCAGTCAGAATTCATTGTGTCCTTTCTGGTCTTTCATACTATAACAGTTGTTGTTTTTTAATGTTGGAGGGGAGAGACAGTAGTAGTAATAGGAAGATATATGAGGGTTACTCAGGGAAGGTGGTGATACCTGGGCTTTAGTAAAAGGCTATGCCTCAAGGCATGACACTTTTCATGAGAAAAAAAAGCCTTGCCTCGAAGCCGTCTACATTTCTGGAATACATATCTTCCAACCATGTGGGGTGTGCATTTGGACAGTAGGGGGAAGTATAATTCCACCAAGCCATGACAGTCCAGTGTTTCAGGGCTTCTCATTTCCAGCTCCTCTTTTCCTCTGTCCATTTTATAACGTTTATTTATTTCTGCTTTGGGATGGAGGGGAAAGCACGGCTCCCAAATTACCCTGGTGAGGGAAGAGAAGGGAAGGAGGAAGGCTTTTGCTTCACCATTTCAGCCAAAAGCAAAAGAAAAAATGAAAAAGACAAAAACATGGTGGCACTTTAAAGTCAGATGTCATCACCATTCTCATCTCAGAGCCGCTAAAGGCTGAAGCTCTTCTGAAGGGCCCTTTGCCCGTCCTTATCCACCAGCCATCCTGAAGCAGAGACCCAACCTTATCAATACTTTCTTCTTTCACACTTGCTGTGCTCACAAAGCTGGAGATAAACCATGAACAGAAAGTGGTCCCGAAGATGGAAAGACAGCCTTTTAGCTCCCTGCGTTTCTGATAAAGGGGGCTCTCCTTTCTTTCACAAGTGCCTCCCCATGCCTCACCCCGCCCCTTTTTGTCTGAGTGGAAGAGACACTGTCCAGGAATGGGTTCTCCTTATACGGTCAGCATTGCATAGCTATGTTTCCTATTTCCACCACTTTTAGCAAAAACATGCAATGGTGATTTTTTTTTTCTCTCCCTCAGATTTAAGGGAAGCAAGAAGGACGATCTCCTGGGGATTTCTTATAACAGGCTGATAAGGATAGATGCTGTCACTGGGGACCCAATAACCACATGGAGATTCTCAAATATGAAACAGTGGAATGTGAACTGGGAGATACGACAGGTAAAATCCAGTGTTTCCTGGAGCTCTGCTTTATCTTTCTCGAGTTAATAGAAGTCGAACAACAATGTTGTGTTATAATGGGAAACTGCAAATTAATGCCTTCATTATTGGGGGGGGGGGGTAATGTTTCCTGGAGCACTGCTTTATCTTTCTCCAGTTAATAGAAGTTGAACAACAATGTTGTGTTATAACAGGAAACTGCAAATTAATGCCTTCATTACGGGGGGGTGTCTTTCAAAATTTATTTAAGGCTTCGGAGCAAAGAAACAGCTATTCTTCACACAACATACTGTGAAAGTACAGAACATGCTATCCTCAAGTACTGGTAGTGCCAACAGCAGGAATGACTTTAATGAAACTAAGTGATTGTGCAGGTGGAAGCAAAAATATTCTGTTCAACACTGCTGGTCTAGGATTTTTTTTCCCCACCCCTCACCAACAGAAGGGTCAGTTTGCTGAGATCTGTGCCTTTTCCCCTACCTTCCATAATAACCCAGGGAAAGCTGTATTATTTTGTACTGGGCTTTGTTCCAGTGGACAGAATGTGATGTTGAAGCACTTCCTATACTGTAGTGAGTTTACCCCTGAGTCACTGCTCCCAGCTTTTAAAGATTTCCAGGTAGAAGCCTTTAATTATCTCACTCATTGGCTTTCAAAGCAGTGGTAGGAAATGGTCTACATGCAAAGCAACAGTGAGGAAGTAGGTTTATAATGATTTATTAGGCTTTCAGACCCATGGCTACTAATATGTCCTGATGCCCTTTGGGAGGATCTGCAACCAAGCAGAATCATTTACTGCAAAACTTTTGCCTGTCTGGAAAATCCCTTATAGTGGGTTGCCTGCTGTATTGTAAATCACTGGGGACAGGTTCTTTCTTTTTCTTTGAAACCTGTGAGCTGACTTTGATTTAGGAGGACTTGGTAAAGCATCAGACTTTGGTATCCTCTAACTGTATGTTAACCTGCCTGTGGAGCAAGAATTTTATATGCCAAATATTTGGGGAGGGGGGGAAGGGAAGAGGAGGTTCCAAAAATCCAGGAGTTAATAGAAAACATTTTCAGAGCAGCAGATATGAATATTTTAGCTGAAGTATTAAAAAATAAAGAAATTGTTGAGGTTAGAAAAAAGTGGGAACCTTTGTGTAATTGGATGAGAGATGAACATGAATGGGTTAAAACTATAAGAAAATATATAATTGTAGAGTTTAAAGGCTTAGAAAAAATGGCAAGGTATGTGTGAAGTAAGCTTAATAAGAAAACATATCGGCAAAAGTAATAATGATGTATATTGTTCTCTATCACATTCTGTATTTTTATATTTACCCCAGTATCCTGTTCCAAACCCCCTTCCCTATGATCTTTCCTTACCCAATTGAAAATGAATAATAATTTTACAAAATAGGATAGAAAATGCTTTTTAGCTGGAAAGTAGTTGGGTAGGCTGCCAATCTCAGTGGAAAAGACAACTAATGCTGAACCCTTTCCCCTCCTTGACCATTGTCTACTCAATATCACTTTCTTCAAGTTGCTTTTTTTTTCTCCCTGCAGGACAGAGGATTGCCTATAATTTTCCCCAAGGGAATGGAAAAGCTCCTAATAAGAAGGGTGGTTCTGGAGCTGGCACATGGGAGGGAGGGAGAAGGGTTAGGTAGCCCTTCCCTTCCTTCCACCTTCCTTGATTGCTGCTGCCTTTCAGCTTTTAAAACACATTTTCCAGAAGGAAGCTGTTCGGGTATTGTTTTGTGTCTCCCATGTCACATCTAGTTCAGGCATCCGGGTTTTTGAGCCTTGTGTGATTTCCTTTACTTTATAAGTGTGAGAAGCTGGGGAAATTGTTCCATTCTGGGCGTGATAATTGAAATTACTTATTTATTTTTCCTTCAGGTTGCCATTGAATTTGATCAGAATGTATCAATTGCCTTCACTTGCCTCAGTGCGGATTGCAAGGTGGTCCATGAATACATCGGAGGCTACATTTTCTTGTCAACCCGTTCTAAAGACCAGAATGAAACACTGGATGAAGACTTGTTCCATAAATTAACTGGAGGCTGGGAGTAAGGAAGAGCATGGAGCTGCCTTTGGTTCGGATAGGCCAGCTAGAACTCCAGAAAAGGACTTCCTATATATGAATCTATTTTGAAGCCAAGGAATGATACACTGTTTTAACCCATTCTGATGCAACTCATTTCTTGTTATCACTATCACTTTTTGACTTACCTCAGGGATTATCTGTGTTATCCAAGCCCACCCATGTTAATACACAGAGCCTAACTTGTTACGCTATTTACCCATCATGTCTGTGTGGGACGCAGTTGAACTGACTCTGTAAATCTTTATTGAAATGATACGGTTGTCAACCTCTGTAACTCAGGGTCAAAACGGGAGGAGAGTTCCCTTAAGAGGTTTCTCAGCTGTGCAAGTCACAAATGATCTTGCTTTTGAATGGCAACTGGTCACAGCTATGCTTGTGAGGTTCGCAAATGCTCTTGAGCGAGGAAGTAAAGAACCATCCAGTTGGTTTTAGCTCCTTGCCCTGGGATGTTACTCCATTCCCAGACACCAGGTGGAAGAGCCAGAACTGCAGACTTCAGTCCAAGGGCCCGAACCACACAGGCATTGATGGGATAAGTGTCCGGTGCTTCCGTTGAGTGGGTTCCTGTCAGTGTCCATGTAAGGTTTGTATAACTAGTCATTGGGTAATTGCAGCTGATGGATGAAGTGCTAGGAAGCATCTTGGTTATGCCGTTGTGTGTGTTGCGTTTGTGACTAGGCATGGAACTGAGAAGCGGCCTGGTATTTGAAGCTAGAATTAACCATGATGAGTTATGCAGACATTACAAAAACAGCAATTGGATTCTAGCCACTGAATGTTTAAAAATCTCTCTCTCTCTCTCTCTCTCTTCATCTGCAATGAAATACAGATTTGTCTGGGAGAGTGAGTGGCTGTGTGAACTTTATCTCTGAGTGAGGACCTGCAACTCCTCAATCCTCGTCTGGCATTCTAACCACTACACCATGTCATGCTGTTGGTTCAGCCCATCGGCACTTGCATGCACTATACTGTGAACTGAACTTTTGATTTTGACTTTTTTTACTATTTAAAAAGAAAACACTCCTCTAACCTATAAACAAAACAGCGCCCTGCAGACATGGGTGCTTCGTTTCCATATCCAGGGGATACAAATACAAACCCAGCACCCCAGGTGCCATGGTGGGCCATTCCCTCCTCCCAGAACCAGCCCACTCCACTCACCAGGCTCCGTGTGGCACACCCCTCTGTCAGCATCATCATCACGCTAATGGCAGAAGTCGTCTTGCCAGCACTTCCCAACTCTCATAACTGCTCAGCAGCTGAGCAGGGAGACACATCCTTACTGGAGTGGTTGGCTGTGGGGAGAGATGGGGAAATGCTGGCAGGACTACTTCCATGATTGACATGACAGTGGTGCTAGTGGACATGCATGCTGCACACAGAGCCCAGTGAGTGAACCGAGCTAGTTTGGGGGCAGGGGGCGGGGGGAAATGGACTGCCATGGCACCTGTAGTGTTGTGCTTGCAAGGCTAAGACTCTCAGATCATTTGATCTGGCTCGTGATTTAAAGAGGTCCTTGTATCATCGTAAAGCAGTCGGGCATTGATGTGGAACTATAGGAGTTTTTGCACTTGGTTCTCATGAATAGCATTGAGGTGGTGGTTGTGGAAAGAATGAAAACACAGGTGTACCAATGTATGCATTGAAGCAATCTCACAGCTCCTTGATTTACTGCTATACTATATATTAGAGGAGATTCATCATCATTACTATTCTGCCTTTTTAAGAGACTCTCGTACTCATTTTAATTAGGCACACACATAAAATAAGGATGCTAAAGCAGAAGAAATTAAACAGGTGCTCTATATACAATGTATTAAAGTTTGCAAAGTCAATGTATGTACATGTTTGCAATTTTAATTGTAGGCTTGTGCGTGTCTTCTGTTTTTGGATTTCTTCCCTAAGTAAATCTGCAAATTATAGCCAAAGAGCCTGCTGTGCAATTGTGCTGATAATGATGTAACTTGTAACTGCAGTTTACCACTAATTAATGAGTCTCCACTTGGATTCTTCATTGCGTGTCAGTTGGGTGGCTTGGCACATAATCTGGGTACTTGTTAATTAGTAGTAATTTGCACTTGTGAATTGTGCCACTGCCCTTCTGCCAGCATCACTGTACAATAGAATTTTGACCTATATTTCTATAAAATGTTATCTTAGAGTATTTTTAAAGTTGGGTTGTTGTTGTTTTCATTTTCATCCAAATATTTTCCATGTAGTCCTCCCAGTGTTTTTGGATTCAGGAGATACTTTTCATATAAATCATTTCAGAGTTATTGAATGTTGCTTAGTTATTGAACGATGTTTGTCTACTTTCCCAAATTACGTAATGTAATATAACTATCTGGTTTTTTGTTTGTTTTGTAGGGAAATGTCAAGGGTTTTACTATGGTTTCAGTTCTTTGGGTCTTTTAGAATAATCTAAAACGCTGGCTGGATAGCTCAGTGGTTTAAGTATCTGGCTGTGGAGCCAGAGGTTGGGTCCCCCACTGGGCCTCCTGGGAGGAGAGCCAGCCTGTGTGGCCTTGGGCAAGCTGCACAGTCCCAGGGCACCCCCAGAAGAAGGGAAGGGTAGACCACTTCTGTGTATTCTTTACTTGGAAAGCCTTGAAAAGGGTTGTCATAAGTCAAAATTGATTTGACGGCGCACACACACAAAATGCTTCTTAAACAAAAAATTAAAATATGTATAATATTTTGTTTGAAACTTCTGATAATAAATGAATTTGAAAGTGCACATTTTTGTGGAGAATCAGAATTCCTGGGATTGTCTAATAAAATTTTTAAAAATAAATGTACAGCAGTCCAACAGCAACATGTATTCCATCCAGTCCTTCTTAATGGTTTCTAGGATTCCAGCACGAAGGCCTTCCCTGTTTGCATTTTTTTTTAATCAGTACAAGTTATGCTGTGTTCTAATCCTCACTTTAGTAGCTGAGACTTCCACTGATCACCTGAACAGGAGAGGATGGGGATTAAAATCAGGAAACATGAAAAGAAATAGTAAATTGAGTGGCTGTTGGGGGGAATGGGTTGTACCTAATTGTGCCCTTCTAGTTGTGGATCATGTCTTCCATTCACAGGAGGGCTATTTTATGCTGTTACGGTGTAGCAGAAGAAGGCCCATAGCATGTGCTTTGCAAAGAGAAGGTGCCGGATTTGACACAGCTAGGGCTAGGGCTTGGAAAAGGAATGCCTGAAACCCTGGAGAGCTGCTGACAATCAGTATCAACAGTATTGAATGGAAGAAAGATTTGATGTTATGTTTGACAACTTTCTATATTATGTTTCTCCTTTGAAAGTAACATTCAAGGTATACATAGTTACTGCAGCCAGAATTCTCTATGCCAAAAATTGGAAAAGTCTGACAGTACTGAAACAAGAAGACCTTATAGAGAAGATACGGGAAACAGCGGAAATGGACATTTTATCAGAAGTGATGAAGGACTGTCCTTTACAAAAGGCAACAGAAAGATGGGACTTATTCTACAAATGGACTGAATCAACAGGCAGCGTATGAAGAGCATATATTGAAACGAGAACTTAAACCTGGAAGGCAGAAAATAGTAAAAAGAATAATTTGGAATTTTGATATGGCAATAGGTATAGAATGGACATTAGTATGTTATTGTTTCTCCTCTTCCCTATTAACCTCAATTCCCCTTTTCCTTTTTTGTCATCCCCTTGTTAAAAATAAAAATTAAAAAAAGAAAGTAAAATTCAACATGACATTTCAATGACAGAAGAGCATAAGCAGTCAGCTGTGCAAGCAGAAGCATGAGAGTTGACATAGAACCTACTATGCACACTATTGTGAGCATGTCTCAGCAACTGAGGGCATCATCAGATGGTCATTTATTTCACATTCTGGACCGCTTTTGGCACAGTCAGGTTCATCCTAGTTTCTAATGACTCCACAGTACTCTAGTAATCTTGAACAATCCCAATCCCATACTTTCTTGGATCTGTGGCTGTGGCTACTGTTTTCTTAGTTTTAGGTTGGATTCCTGCATTTGTCAAATCAAACCAAAGTAAATTCCCCAACAATGCTGCTTATAATTTCTTTTAATCTAGCTCTTCCTTGCTTCCCTGCAGAATCTTTGGAATCTAGTGCTGTGTCACTTGGATGACAAGGCAATTCAGTGACATGTCATTTGCCAAACTCTTTTTTAAAAAATCCAGTTTTCACTCACTCCCCTTGGAGGGAGAGACAGGAGCGGGCATGAAAGTGGTGTGGTTTCCCAACCCTAAACCACCAGACCATCAATCTAAATCTCAGGCCACACCTTCAAGCAACCCTGTTAAAACTGATCCAGCCCAAGATAACTTCATTGTCTAGTCTCACTCTGGGTTTAGAATATTGCTTATTGATTCTTTGTACTTAACCCCATAGCACCAGTATTCTACTGAAGACATCAGCAGTCTGCTTCCAGAGGTGGCATGCTAGTGAATATTTTCGGATGACGCTTTCTTACATGGTGTTTGTGAGGATAAAAGTGAGGGAGAGAAGAGAACTGTGTAGAATTCTTTGAGCTCTGTGGAGGAAGGATAAGATAAAACTGGTACAAAATTGTTTCTAAAAATCATGATGCGCATTTCCTCACTTCTTATGAACACCGGATCCCATGGAGCTTTTTACATGAGCTTCAAAAATTGAACTGGGTATTTATCATGCTAACAATATTGTAGAAAATCACATCGCCATTTCATTTCCTTACAATGGACCTCAACTTTTGGTGTTAAAAATGTGGGATAAAGTAGAAAACATGTCTTTAAATTTCTTATTTAGATGTTTTAATTACCTCCAAATTCAACAAGTAAAGATCTGAGTTGGCCTAGGTGAGGTCTGACTGGATTTTTAAAAAAAGAAAATAAAAGCCTGGTTTTGAAGATTATTTGAAGATTATTTTTTAGCCATTGCTTAATAGTTCATACCATCATTGGAGTAAGAAAAGAGGGGAGGGGAGGAACTCATCTCTGAGGCACCGTACCATCTCCTCTTGGAACGGTTCTGTCCTGTTTATCTTCCCCTGTGTCACTCAGGAATTCAGCCTTCAGTTGTAAAATTCCAGACTTGAATGATCTGCAGCCAGCACTGATAGGAGGGCAAAAGATGTGTGTCGGCACATGTGTATTGCTGTAGCTTTCAAGATCTTTTTAAAATACAGGGAAAGACACAGTACAGCACACATGTAACAATGGAGCGTGTGTAAGCCCACTAGCGTACATAGCCAACTAGGGTGGTGTTGGGTCATAGGTACACTAGCTAAGAAACACAACCACATTATTTAATGATTTAACAAAATAAGCACAGAGAAACAGTTGAATTGGCCCAGTAATGGGAGTCAAAACAGTTCAGTGAAATGTGCTATCCCAGCTTTGTTTATTATCATTTTTTTTTTTAAAAAAATCTCAATATGTTTACTTGGAAGCATACCCCACTGAACTGACTAAAGCTTACTTGTGATTAGACACACAAAGGGTTAACACTATTACTTCTGAGCAAGAAAGGGGGCAAGTTTGGAAGAGGTGGATCAAGGGGAACATTGCATTTATCAATCCCAACATCCACATGTAACCACCCCATCGTTTCTTTGGTGAGTGGTGAGAAAGTACACCAACCTGTACAGCAAGAATGAAACAAACATGTTTCCTGCCACCTTTAATGGATGGGTTGTAATCCATAAAAGCTCACAATGAAATAAATCTGTAAGACTTGAAGGTGACACAGGACTCCATCTGTTGGTGTTGTTTTGTTCTACCTACTGCCACAGATTCTGACCGCTGCCTTTTTGAAAACTGCTGTGTTAGCCTTGGAATGGCATATTTATTTTCCTTCCCTGTGGGATGAATGGAGAAGTTCTTACAAGATGAACATTAAAAAGCACTACTGCAAAATATGGGGAGGAGAAAAGGAAACAGTCAAACGTCACTGGCTCAAAGGGTGATTTTGTGACCCATCAAAAATATTTTGCTGCTTGAGGCAAAAATGGTGTTCCCTCTTCATTCCACGCACAGAAGCTGACTGGATGGGCAGCTGAATATTCTTTCAACAGTCACAATGGGGTAATATCTTCTAGTACACCTAGAGGAAGCCAAATTAGCTGAGGAGTTCTGCAAGGCAGGGCATGTGGCATACAGCTTTCTCATCTCAACACCTGTCAGCCACTTCTCGACAGCTGCTGTCTGAGGTGACCATCTCAAAATGATGTAAACAAGGATATTGGCCAGTCTTTGGGTTTGAGTCCCAAGTCTGAGTCTTTGGCACCGAGTCCCAAGCCCCAAATCTAAGTCCCTATTTAAATCAAGTGGTTTTCTCCAGAAAAAAAAAAAGGAGAGGGTGGCAGGTTCCAAGTCTTGAGTCATTGAAACAAAATCCGAGTCGCGTTCAAGTCAAGTTGCTCACGTGACTGTAGTCCAACTTCACAGCGAGTCCCGCATCTTGAGTCCCCAACCCTGGATGTAAACATACCAGGTGATCCTAGCAAGCTACATGCTCCCAGCTTCAATTCCCCTTTTGTAATAGTGAGATAATAAAACTACTCTGTCCATAAAAACTGCTGCGATTGTATGCATAAAATGTGTCCACTGCTCAAGCAAAATGCTGTGTAAATGCTACTGTAGCCATTGTTCAGTGAATGATCCTTGGTTCCTTCAAGAAAGTTCTTCAGACAATGTGTGCCTTCCAGGACAACTTCCCTTAATAGGTTTATGGTTGTAGCCTAATGCGTTTTCATCCATGTGATTCAGGCCTAGTTTGAGATAGTGAAACCCCAGAGTTTTCCTCAGAAGAATAGCTCTTTTAACTTATGCCAATGGAGGCACTCACTTTATTCATGTGATCTATTGTGAACAAGAGCTAGTGAGGTGTAGTAGATAGAGTGTCTGACTAGCACAAAGGAGGCTTTGGCTAAAATTTCTGCTCAGCCATGGAAACTCACTGAGGTTGGGGTTTGTGACACTGGCAAAACCTCTCCTTAAATATCCCACATATCTTGAAAACTCTATTAATCCTCAAACGTGACTTAAGATCCTGTAGCACCTAGTATGCTCGTTCGTGAAGCCCTGCTTTGGAAAGGCAGGGTATACACTTACTTATTAGAGAGAAAAAATACCTAGACAATGAAATTTAGAAGTATCCAATAGAATTGACTTAACCACTGTTAATGTTTTCTGCTAGTCAGTGTTTTGTCTATATCTGTTTCTAGCTGATGTTACTGTACTTTATGGCTTTGTCCAATCATTTTAGTTTGTTCTCTGGGGCCTCATTCTTCCCAAAAGAATACTGAGGGGGAAATCAGACTTCATGGCAAGTACCAAACATTCACAGGAACGGAACAGTTTAGACCAGTACCTGATTATGTCCTTGGCTATTTCAAAAGTACAAACTGATCTGTTTATAAGAAAAGGGGGGGGGGCAAAAGGGCTCCAGACTGCCCCATTAAGGCATCATTCCCTCTTAAATCTCTGGGGAGCCTGGTATGTGTCAAGACTCTCTTGACAAAGAGCAGCATGTAGAAAGATAAGGCCAGAGTACATTCACAAGGGGAATGAGAAAGCCTGGCCTTCATTTCTAGTGTTGTGCACAATACGTAATAACTGAGACACCCACTGTGTTCCCCTTAGGTAATGCTACCTGCTGTTTTTCATGTTGCTATTGACAGATTCACTTGTCTTTCCTTCTTTCATTCTAAGTTCACTTGCCTTTAAACTGAGAACCAAAAGGACACCAAGCACATGATCAATAATGAAGCCCTAGTGTGCACTCTTAGTCTCTCTCGCTCTCTTTCTCTATATATATTTTTCTTCTCGAAGAAGCAGGTTTTTCTTTGAAGAAAAGCAGCTTCAAAAAGATAGCTGTTGGCAAGCAATTATGGGAGTTACAGCCCAAAAAACATATAGTAGGCCAGTTGCCCACTCCATAAACTTCATAAGGATTCTAAATTGTCTTTAAAACAAAGAGCTGCATTGTATACCAAGTACGCAGCACTTATGCATATGTATGACTGTAACGAGCTTTGCCGCTCACAAGGTACGACTGAACAAGTATTCAACAGAGGTACTCCCTGTGCTCCACAGTGCTGTCTTACAACTTTCCTACTAAATTGTATTTTACTGCATTTATCAATATGCAAAGGGACAGAATGTTATTTTCTCTCTCCTCTTATCGTGTGGATACCCTTATTCCATGGTCAGACCTTCAGAAATGTGTGATGGCAGAGCTTGTAGTTCTCCAGATGTTATAGACCCCAGTTCTCAGCAGCCTCAGCTAGTCTAGCCAGTGGTGAGAGATGATGAGCAATTCACCAACATCTGGAAAGATATCCTTTTTGTTGCTTCTCCATCTCAACCATCTAAATATAAAATGCAAGCCTCTTCATGGTTGGTTTTTTTGTTGTTGTTTTGAGGGAGGGGTAGAGTTGTAGCTCAATGGTAGAACATATGGGCTGCACATAAAAGGTCCCAGGTTCAAATCCTCCAAGCAGAAACTACAAAAGCCTCTGCCTGAAGTCCTGGAGAGCCACTGCCAGATACTGAGCAAGAGGGACCCAGGGTCTGGCCAAGAGTATAAGGCAGGAAATAAGCGGGGTGTTTGTGAGAGAGGAATACATCATTAATTACTCTTCCACTCCAAAATACTCTCACCTTTTTCTTCAACATGGAATTCCAGATATCCAGACAATTGAACAAGAATCATACAGGAGGGGGAAAACAGCCTGGGAGCACTTTAATGACTGGCAGGACAAGGATAAAACATTCTTCCCCTTTCTCCCACCAAATCACTTTTCGTTTTTTCTTTAAAACAGTGGGGCTTCATGGCACTTATACCCCTGGGATATGTGGTTGGCCTCTTACTCACTTGCAGAAGAACTGAAACAGAAAGAATTATTTCTTTGGGGGAGGAATATAAGCCTTTGGCCAACTGCTCAGCAGACCAGGACTCCTCATGGATCTTTCACCTTGAAAGAAAGTCCTCTTCTCCCTTCCTCAATGGCAAAGGGCAATTCTGCCCCAATACATACACACACAGAGAGAGAGAGAGAGAGAGACCTCCCTAGGCCAGCCCCCAGCTAATGCAGGGAGGAGCTGTCAAAAGCATCCATTTGTGGAGGCTGGGAAATAAATCTGCCCACCCACCACCAAGGGAGAGGGAAGGGCGGGTGCCATACCATCATAAGAACCATTCTTCTTCTCTAGCAAGAGGCAGGCAAAGGTGGGGGTGAACTGGCTTTTTCGGGGGGAGAGGAGACCACTCAGATTCACCTAGAAGAGGGTGGTTTGAATGGTAGAGGCCAAGGAGGCAAGCTGAAGAGTTCCATGCTTTTGCTCTAAATCGCTGGAATGTTTAAAGGAAAGGCTGGAAAATAAATTCAGATGTCACAGGCACTACTAGAACGTCTCCCTATGAGATGCTTTGATGGGTAAGTACCACTTGATGCTAATGGAGATGAGAGGAATTAATCATTCTTTAACAAGGGCGATTTGAAGTCTCATTATTTCTGGATAAAATGGGATGCATTTTAGCACTGAGCAAGAAAGAAAATGATATATAGTTATTACTACCATGAATATAGTTAATTACCATTAATTATATATATAGCAACATTATATATATGTAAGGTCTGTAAAAGATTCAGCTACAAGTGAGTGGACTTGGCATTGCCAGTGTCTCATGTAGTCGTCTTCTTTTTATGTTAAGCATCTGTACTTTTATTGTTCTAAAACTGTGATGGGGAAACTTTGGTAAAATTAATTTTCTGGACAATGTCTCCAGTGGCTGTGCTAACTGGGAATTCTGGGAACTGCAGTCCAAAATTTAACCTTTCCAAGTTATTGTAAGGGGGAGGGGAAAAGCTACACGTGCCAAACATTTCTCTCTGCTTCTGCAGCTTCAAAGGTCCAAGATGCTCCCACCACCCAAGTAAGAAGACAACAACTTTAGTTAGACAACTGAATAAGAACTTAGGCAACTATGGCAACTAATATTTATGTTTCAGAACAAGGTCTATAAATGCAATTGTTAGTTCTAGCTATAGGACCCATTGAATGAATGGGACATGTTAAGTCAACACGTATGTACGCTGTTTTGGTTCCATGGGTCTACAGCAGTTGGTATTAATAACTGCATTTAGGGATGTAGCATTCATCAAACAGAAACATTTAGATAAACAGGAGCTCTCCTTGTGGGAAAGTGGGGGAAGTGACACTTATTAACCTATCAGGTTGCAGTGATCTTTTGTTGTAAGTTAGCTTTCCCAGCTTGACACCCTCCAGATATATTGGCCTGCAATACCCATACTTCCCACCCAGCATACTGTAGCAAATGGAACTCAAACATATCTGGACTACTCAGCTATGCAGGTGAAACGTATCTGCAGGGCCTGAGGATGGATAATACTGGCATAGGCCAATGCCAGGACAAAGCACCAGCTTCACTGGCACTGTTGCTTCCTGTGCCATCCAAATGCCATTGCTAGGTGCTACCTGGTAGTTGGGGTTCAGGTGCTCCTTTGAGACCAACATGGAGAATTACAGCCTTTGGTCTTGACATCTGTCCTGTTCCTTCAACCACCAATGCACCTTTTTCTTGAACTCCCAACACCTTTCTGAGGCAGGACTCATTGGCTGAAATCTTGTTGCTTAGCATAATAGGGTGCACTGGAATAGTTCCATTAAATGTGTGGGGATTTGGTGAGTCAACCGTACATTCCATTGACTTAAATAAGTCCATGCTAGTTGTGACTTACTACACCAAAAGGATTTCAGCCATTTTTTCCAAAGCTCCTCTTTCTGGATTTTAATTCCTCAAATCCTCTCATTAGTGTGGCTAGGCAGATGAGGGTGCTGTGGAGTTGTGAAACAAACATAGCTACTTTTTGGAGCTCTTATTATGTCACGTTAGGACCAACATCACAGTCTCAGAGGCAAGCCATATGGAGTTTAGTGGGATTTCCTTACCTCTCTATGATCAAGTATGGGGTTGCAGTACGAACAAGTGCTTTGTCTGTGGCTGACCAAGTGACCTCCAGCCGAATCTGGTTTTGAACCCAGCTGCCTCTCTGAGACTTTGCACACTATCCTTCTATGTTCTGGTGACATCTGAAGGATGACTATTTTTGTGAGAATGACTGCTTGGCTGGCAGCACTCCAATTGCTTTCTGTCCTTTGTTTTCTCTCTGGAATAGGGTTCCTCTTTAGGTGGAAGGTGCCCAGAAGGACCACCATGTTCTGCCTCTTTGCTTGTATATTTCTCCATGTGAGGGAAATGCCAGCCAAGCCAACAGAGACGAATCCTGCCATACAGGGAGATGTGAGGCCACTTTTCCAGCTGGTGAAGCAGAATGTTTGGGAGGAGAATGTCAATCTGACCAGCCTTTCTTGTGATGAGATAAATAACCAGACATGGACTGCCTTGCGCCTGAAAAGCCAAGAACTGACTTATTTCCCAGCCTGTTTGCCAGGCCACCTGGAGCGTTTGGATCTAAGTGCTAACCTCCTGCCTGAATTCCACAGTCGGCACATGGCCCACCTGCCCAAGTTGCAAGTCCTCTCCCTGAAACAGAATGTCATTCGACAAGTAACTTGGGATGCTGGAAGTGCCAACAGCCTCCGATTCTTGGATCTCAGCTTCAATTTGCTATCCTTTGTGCCTGCATGCGGTGCCTCCATTTTGGGAGATCTTAAGTGGCTTTCTCTGGCTGGGAACCCTATCACAGAAATCCAGCCCCTGGCTTTCTCCTGCTATCCCCAACTACATTTCCTCAATCTGTCATCCACTTGGCTGGGAAAGGATGGCAAAGACAGGATCAGGCCATCAGCCTTTGCCATAAACTCGGTGCATGTTGGAGACTCCACTGAAGAATCTGGAAGTGTTATCAGTGTGCTCGATCTGAGTGCAACCTTTCTGGAGAGCAGTAAGTTCTAAAAGTAGAATGGAAGCCATCATCCCATTAAACTGAGAGCAAAGTTTGGGAAAGTCAGTATTGAATTACATTTCCTATAGGAGCTATAGCCTCAAAAAAAGGTAACATTTCCAAGCTCTGATTGTGGGTAGAGAAAGGAAGAGGCCAAGACCTGTTAAAATTTCTATTGTTTGGCCAACAGAACACTTGATGTATCCGAATTGAAAGCATTGTTCAGTTTTAGAAGTCTAAATATAATGGAAACATTAAAAATTGAATAGCTTGGGTAAAATTTTAATAGGGGATATTTTTCAGATCTTTATTTAGAGGAAGTGTGTGTGTGTGTAATTCCTACAATAGAATCTGAATGCCATTTAAAGAAGCATAAATAAAGATTTATTAAATTCAAATATAAATTCAGTATTTAAGTTAATTACATTTCTTAAGGCATGGATTTGTGCTGATTTGAATACACTGAAAGGACAATTTAAAAGGATTATAGCACTAGCAGTACATCCTATATCTAAAAATATATATTGTGAACCACGCAAATAGTGCTTGCACTGTGGGGCGGTATACAAGTTGGAATGAATGAATGAACAGTAAGTGCAAATTATTTCAATGGAGCTCAAACTCCACAGGAATGATATAAGTTTACTGCTCCAAATGTTTAACTGTTAAAGATTTATCAGCAATGTGGTGATGAGTCAAAGCCTTTGTAAACATTCCAGATCATAAAGATTTAGAATCCCTACTCAGAATTGAATTGACTTCACTAGGCATGACTGCAGTTTTAAGGGACTCATCATTACAGGTACTAGTGACTGTGGTGCCAAACCAGGAGTAAGCAATTTTGTCCTTGGCCTACAGTTTCCATCACCCCTGTTCAGTATAGCTGTTGGCAAGCAATTATGGGAGTTACAGCCCAAAAAACATATAGTAGGCCAGTTGCCCACTCCATAAACTTCATAAGGATTCTAAATTGTCTTTAAAACAAAGAGCTGCATTGTATACCAAGTACGCAGGACTTATGCATATGTATGACTGTAATGAGCTTTGCCACACACAAGGTACAACTGAACAGTTTTTCAACAGAGGTACAGTGGACCCTCGATTTACAGACGGCTCGACTTACAGACTTTTCGAGTTACAGACTTCTCTGGCCACAAAATTTAGGTTTGACTTGCAGCCAAAGAATCGACCTACAGACCAGAAAAAAACCAAAATGGAACAAAAATGGAACAGACTTTTCAACCTGCAGCCCCTGTTCCAATACGGATTAATTCCGTAAGTAGAGGGTCCACTGTTAAAACAGTGCTCTACAGCTTTCCTACTAAATTGTATTTTACTGCATTTATCAATATGCAAAGGGACAGAATGTTATTTTCTCTCTCCTCTTATCGTGTGGATACCCTTATTCCATGGTCAGACCTTCAGAAATGTGTGATGGCAGAGCTTGTAGTTCTCCAGATGTTATAGACCCCAGTTCTCAGCAGCCTCAGCTAGTCTAGCCAGTGGTGAGAGATGATGAGCAATTCACCAACATCTGGAAAGACATTCCACATCCTTGGTAGATGGTATAGTTTAGATCCTTTTGATTTATAATGCTTTGAAGACGTTTTAGTTTATTAGTTTCAGTCCACCATGAAGCAGAGAATGGGCCTTAACATTCACATCAATGGCCTATGTGCCACAGTGACCTGAGGGAGTCCAGAGGCTAAACTTGGATACTGAGTGGTTGCCCCACATAAATATCATTTGGAAGCAGAACAAAGGTAACCATTTGTTTCAGGAGGGAAACGTCAGGTCAATCCTAATAAGGTTCAGACTTTTCCCCCCTTATCGGGAGAAAGGTGTCCTTTAAATAAAACAAATAAAAATTAATAAATACTCCTTCCTGTTTTCTATTTACTGAGAATTTTTGAGGTAGGAGATGAATGCTAGGATTAAAACATTTTGCTGCCTGAGACAGAGCAGCAAATGACATGGTTTTTACTGACGCAAGTCAGTGTGCAGAGTGCCCAAGCCCAGCCAGCTTATTTTGGCACATGAGGCACAAAAACGATGGAAGCATCTCTCCCTCTCCTTACATAAATGAGCAAATTGTTATTGTAACGGTAACAAACGGTCATTTCCTCTTCTCTTATGACACCCACATCTTTTGCCTGAGGCATCCACCTCACTCTGCTTAATGGCAGGGCTGGTCCTCTAGAGTCTAGAGAAGTACTCAAAATGTTATCTGCCTTTTTACATTTCTATTTCAGTATTGTTCTACTTAATTCTTTTGCATTTTTAGGCCAGAAAAATAAAATAAATACAGGATGTTACTGTTCATGTCTTTTACATTCCTATTTCAGTATTGTTGTACTTAATTCTTTTGCATTTTAGGCCAGAAAAATAAATACAGGATGTTACTGTTCATGTACATCATCTGGAGTGGACTTTAAATATTCCTATTCCTGAGGAAGGATTAAAAAGAAGCTCCTCACAAAACATTGTCTTAAAGTTAATGTCATATAACTTAAACCAGGTTTGAAAACTAAGCACATTGAGTAAGGCAACAGCCTGAGGAGTGGAGGGTCTTCCAAAGAACATTAGAGCACCTGAAGTCACAGATGTTCAGATTCAGAATCAGCCACAGAAGACACTCCCAGTAGTAAACTACCTTGTAATATATAGCTCTCTCCTTCCTCAAAAATGACTCACCAGTAGTCAGACAATGAGAAGCCTATGGGTACAGCAAATCTGTGGGCTTTTTGCTCCCAAACTTCTGGACTGAGAGAGTCTAACTTTGCTCACTGTGTAGCAAAATGGGCAGGATTTGAAGGAGCCATGGAATTTTCACAGAGGATGTGGATCTTCTAAACTTCTGGACTGAGAGTCTAGCTACCACAGCTCACTGTATAGCAGAATGGGCAGGATTTGAAGGAGCCGTGGAATTTTCACAGAGGATGTGGATCTTCTGAGCAATCCTAAGTAAGGTAGCCCTCACCAAGAGAGATGGCCCTAGAAATATGGAGAGGGAGTTAATGGATTCCAGTGGCAGATGATGGGAGGGCCATAGTAACAATCCTCTTCCTATCTTGGCTGTACTCTCCAATGTTTCCCTGTCTTGGAGGACAGGGCTCTGTGGGCTATGCTACATGACCTCTCTAGCATGTCCTAACATCATCTGCTGCCTTTAAGTGTCATGGTGGACCTTGTCCCATTCCCAGTGTTGAAGGCATTTCCATGTACCTAGTTACTCAGCTTCTGTTTGTGGAAGGGAGGGAGTGTTGTCTCCTTTGCCTCAGGCTGTAAAAAGTTTGTGAAAAATCTGGACAGACCCATCTTTAAATAGAGGCTCCTCTCTTTGATACACTTGCCTGTTAATCTGTCCTTCTCCTCCCCAGTTCATCAGGACTGGTTAAAGCATCTGCCCAGACTCACGTCTCTCCATCTAACAAAAATGACCAGACTACGAATCCTCGAACCCTCAGCCTTCCTGTATGTGCCCATGCTGAAAGAACTGGATTGTCGAGATTCCCAGGGACTAAGTCTGGTGGAAACTGAATCATTCAACCACACACCTCACCTGGCCATTCTCCAGTTCCAAAAGTAAGAGTCCCTGTGTTGTCTTGCTAGAAGGACTCCAGCTAAATCAAAAGGATCTACAGAGATCATCCCTTTCACAAGTCCTTGGTAATCCTCAGTGAGTATTGTGAGGATTCTGAGTCCACTGTAGGGCTATGATTTGGTACCATGGTATTTTAGTACATGTTGTCCAACAGCAAAGGTGTTAGTCTTTAAGGTGCTGGCAGACTCTTTGTGGATTTTGCTGCAACACGCTAGCATAGCTACCAGTATTCGATAGAAACTGAGGCCAGGAATTGATTCTCAAAGGATGGAAGGGATCCCTTGAACGAGGTTAGATGAGGTGGGTGAAGCACAAGCAATGAAAGGACTGTGTTATCTGTGATCTCCTGAAGGAACATCTCCTCCTTCCACTGTTACCACTGGCAGTAATCCCAGAGGAATGAATGGGGAAGCAGGGCCATTCCAGCAACTCTGCTGAAAGACAGTGGCTTTTTTCTTCATTCCTCCCCATTCCTTTTTCTATTTATACCACATCTTTTTTTTCCTAGATTAAGCTAGATGTTAAGGGGAATGTGTGTTCCCTATTGTTAAACTTTTTTCCCTTCCACAATAGGACACCCTCAAAGATCTTTGCCTCAGTTATCAGAGATGCACATTAAACCCATGTTTACCTTGCGGTAACCAATTGCAAAACAAAAATATATGTGAAGAATATCATATGCTATGAAAAACAGATGCTTTTTCAACATATGGAGGAGCCGCTCTGCCGCCCCCCCAAAAAAGCCACTTCAGCTACAGAGCAAGCTAAATAGATACATAGTAGATGACTGAAGACAAAGGAGTATTAGTACCTCTTTGTCAAAATACTGTAATTTAATACTTACCTAGCACCAGACAAAGTAGATATTCTACTTTCTAGCTGTAACAAATTCCTGAGCGGCTTGCAACACACTGATTCAAACTGGTTTTTATTCAGTCTTTAAATTTTATTTTGGAAGTTTTATTTTTAGCTGCCTTAAGCAAGCTGGAGATAAACTCAGCTTAGTAACTGAATGTATTCAACTCTCTCTGGAGAAGACAAAATACTGTATGTCGTGTCATAGAAAAACCTATTACCCATACATTCGTTGACATTTTATATTTTTCTCATTCTAGCTGTAACCTGAGTTCTTTCAGTCAGTGGAATCTCAGCTCATCAAACAGCCTTGCTATCAACCTCTACGGAAACCCTTTGATCTGCCACTGTGGGATGTCCTGGCTGCTCTCCAAACCAGATAAAATAGTTCTACAGAGGTAGGAAGAATTTCAAGGATGAAATTAATTCCAGGTTTCTCAGTACCAATCTGAGAATCTTTGTTTCGTCCAGACAGCTGCCTATATAAAAGGCTAGCGGGTCGGTCGATATGTGGACAGAAAACACATTAATCCTGCCTGTATAACAATAATACAGTGGTGCCTCGCTAGACAGTTACACCGCATGACAGTTTTTTTGTTAGACATTGACTTTTTGCGATCACTATAGTGATTCGCAAAACAGTGATTCCTATGGGGGAATTTCGCTGGACAATGTTTGGCCCCTGCTTCGCAAACCGATTTTCGCTAGACGATGATTTTGACAGCTCCTTCAGCGCTCGCAAAACAGGTTTTCGGGACTTAAGCTTCGCAAGACAGCAATTTAAACAGCTGATCGGCAGTTCGCAAAGCGGCTTTCCTATGGCTGATCTTCACTAGACAACAATGATTCTTCCCCATTGGAACGCACTAAACAGGTTTCAATGCATTCCAATGAGGAAATGCTTTTCACTAGAAAATGATTTCGCTAAGCAGCGATTTCAGTGGAACGGATTATCATCGTCTAGCGAGGCACCACTGTAAAAGCAAAATATGTTGTGCTGGTACCTCAAAGATTGAGATTCATTCCAGTGTACGCTTTCATGGATTTCAATGAACTTCCTCAGACACAACACTTGTGGAGAGGTGGAGTGTAATCCACAGAAGCTCACTCTGAAGTAAATCTGTTAAACTTTAAGGGGCTATGTTTATTTTGTCTTTATTACACATGCTGAAAGAGACTAGCATGCTAGCTCACTGAAAACTTTTCATGCTATCTGTTAAATTTTGTTTAATTTTCTTCTAATAGAATACAATAAATTTCTAATCTGAGCAGTAGCTCAGAGAAGAATTACAATAGGATGAGGTGGATCCAGGATCTGCTTCCAAAAAACAGAAGTTTCGTGCACAGAATACTTTTGATCTGCAGACAATTTCTACAGGCACAATGCTGGGGTGGGACGTGGTCTTTGCCTATTCCTCAATCCACCTGCAGCCCCTTATCCGCCACCTTCAGAAACTGCAGCTCCGGGGATTTTGAAAGGGGGACTCTAAAAGAGCATTGGAGGCACTGATGGGTTATGCAGAAGGATGGAGGAACTGGCAGAAACTCCATCACACTTGCTGGAGTATTCCACACAGATGTCCAGTGGGAGGATGCTCTTGTCTGTTGGAAAGAAATATGATGGGCACTAAAGATGAATGAAAGAGACTGACAAAAAGATGTCAGCTCTTCTGAGTTATTTTACAGTTTTTGAGGGACTAACTCAAAAAACGTCTTCATGGTCAAGAAAATCAATTCCAAGATGAACGCTCACATTTTCAGGTGTGGGCCGGCTTCCACCACATTTTTCACAACAATGGCTAACCTGACATACTGGTAGTGTGCACTCTGGTTGGGATATAGATGAAGAAACAATTGGGATCCTGTTTTCCCTGAAATAGAATGGTTTAGTGGCCAATCAGGTACTGGTCTGAAACACTGATACTTGTAAACAGAATCCACCCATTCCTTCCCTAGAACAAAGATGTGGCAACCACAGAGACCTTAAAATCTGAATCTGAAATACATTCATACTGGTTAGTTTTTTTGTTTGTTAAAAGTTTGTTTCATTTCAATTATTGTGCTTGATTCCTCTTTTTATTAATCAAAATTTTAAAAAGCTTCCCCAGTAATGTGTACATTTCAAATATGAACTGTAAGATTGTCAGTGGCAGTGGGTCGCAAGCCAGAACTGCTCCAGTGCAGTAAATTGAGTTTACATCACAATGATGTGAAGGGCCAAGCTGATGCCTGATACTAGGACTAGAATTCTAAAAGTAATTTCCTCAAACGATGGACACCCAGGGGAGCACTACTATGAAGTTCTCCTTATGCTACTTTGCTACTTCTGTTTAACACAGCTTTTGCCTTGGTATCTCCCACTTGTCTTAGGGCATCAGAAACTACATGCCAAATATCCATAGAAAGTCACATGGCATCTACTTCTGGATCCATGCTGTTGTCCAACTTGCATGACCAATGTGAAACACAGAGAACTGTTCATTTAACTCCGTTATTTACTCAAGGCAAACTGCTTGGTACTTTGTCCAGCATCGCTACCAACACACTTCCAGACTCCAGAGTATTCCCCTATGAATGGCAGAGCAGTCCTCTGCCCCCACAAAATACTCCTCTAACTTGGGGAGATGCGACTCCTTCAACTTGGGGAGACACCACGCAGTGGGATTCAACCAAGGCAAACATTCTTGCATACAAAGAGGAAACCATGTACCGATCTACAGCCAATCCACCTGCATCAGTAGATGTTGCCACAACTGCCTCCACAATTCTGGATGAACTTTCTGCCAAACAAACCGTGGCAGATACAACTGGAATGGAACAAGATGCAACAGTGAATTCTCTTGCCCCCCTAGAAAGAATATGGTACCATTCTACACTACACAGTCCTACAAGTGAACCAACACCCGCTGATGGATTCCAGGTTCCAGGCACTGCATTTGCCACCCACACTACAGCATACTCAGATCAGGCCATGCCACCATCTCAAGGCCCCACCAAGGCCGCCTTTATTCCGAATCTTGCAACCACTGATGATCTGAAGTATTATGCAGAGGACTATGACTATGAAAAGGACCCAAAGGAATCTGCAGCTGAGGCACTTGAGCCTTGTGACTATGACTCTTGCAGACACCTCCAGAAGCCTTGTGCTGATCTCCAAAAGTTGTCTCCTTGCTTGTGCCCTGGTTTATCAGATGAATTCACTATCCCAGAACCACCAAGGCTTCAGGAAGTATCAGAAATAAGGGACACCTCTGCAGAGATCCAGTGGTGTGCCCCAAATTCAGAAGTAAGCTCTTATCAACTTGCGTACCGCCCCCGAGGCAGTAAGAGGAATTATACAATGTCTGGGGAGATTTACATGACAGCCAGGCGGTACACCTTGTATAACCTTCTGCCTGGCTCTACCTATGAGGTATGTGTCATTGCTTCAAACAAGGCAGGGCTAAGTCAGACTTCAGATGAGAGCAAGCACAATGCTCCATGCAATGTTTTTGCAACCAAGTCCAGCTATCGATCTGTCTTTGCTGCCTTGTGTGCAACCAGTGGACTCTTCCTTGTTGCTACCATATTGTTGTCAGCGTGTCTGTGCAAAAAATGCAGAGCACCCCACATTGAGCATTATAATACACACCTTGTCTCATACAAAAACCCTGCTTTTGATTACTCCTTAAAGTAAGGTTAATGAGACTGCCACAAACCTGTTATTGTTCCAAAAGCTTTTACCTTTTTAATTATTTTTCTGGAGGCTCCCCCCCCCCCAGAGAGAGGGAGATTTTCAAAGACTAGATTTCAGTGGGATGTTTCTGCTAATGCCAGCAGAAACGAATGTCTGTGAGTCTCCTTTCCTTTGGTAGCCCCTTCCCCACCCACTCTCAAAACTTGTCCTTAAAGGTTGGGTAACCCTCTGGAACATATTTCTAGATAATATGAAAGGGGGGAAATTCTATTAGATATCTGCTAGTGCAACATTTCATTGAAAGCTTTTTTGACAGTGCTGACTGGGCAAAATCTAGGAATCCCCACCTCACATTTCTTCCCCGTTCTGATTGGACATTTAAGACTTTGCTTTAGTACCCCTTTGTCCCTATCGGTTCCCCTTTCTGATCTTTGTATTGTGTAACTGCATTCAATAAATGGTAAATATTTTTGTCCTTTTGAAACTTTAAATTTCCTGTTTAAACATTTGCGAAGATCCTTTAATGTTATGACCATTTATTTTTGGCAAAATCCAATCCAATCTTGGGATCCAGCATTTCTTCCTTACTCTGTTGGAAGCCTTTAAGTGCCACCATCTACAGTACGTTGTTCCAGGCTGCCTTTCAACCCTCAGTCCAAGAGGAGAGGGGTAGGGGCAGGAAAGGGTATGAGGAAACTGTGCCTCCCTGCCCATGCTGCTAGAGGAAAGGCTGTGCTGATCAGAAGCATTCTGACAGAAAGCAGATTCCGGATCCAATCCAAAGTAGGGAAAAGGTAACATTTCACTGGATTAGGCTTTAGGGTAAGTGTATTGGGTCATTGAACATGATGCTGAGAAGGGTCACACCAGAATATAAGGGCAGTCTCTGCTTCTGCACATTGTATGGGAAACACCAAACTGTATAATTACATGCTTCACTGCATTTTTATTTGAATATTATCAAATCCTTACTTCTGATTCACTAGGATACTCCTGGTGCAACAAATCTCAACAATGGCCTGGATTAGTATCAGGTGATAAGCTCAAACAAGTTGTTGTAGATGAATCAGAATCATTTGTTGAGGCTTTAGCATAGAATACTGAATATGCTAATTTTCACTATACCTGGTTTGTGTTAACTGAAAAAAGAAATGTTTGCATAGCGCAGTTATTTCTATTTTTATTCCCTTTCTCCCCAGTCGCTTAATGTTGCATAAAAAATCTGACTGGTAAAGCCCTCGTGCAACATCTGGGTCATGGCTGTACAGTACAGATGATAATTAAGCAGCAATTGAGACAGTTCAGCTGGAAAGGGGCACACACCACTCACTTAGCCATAGGTAGTCAAAGAACTGACAAGATTTATTTGGAAAGTGCAGAGGCACAGACTGTGGACAATCCTGCAGAAACCATTCATTGTTCAATGCTCTTACATGTTCCAATATGCATTTACACTTGGTCATCTGAAAGAATTTACCTGAGTGGCTTTTATGGAGCTCATATTCTACATCTTAATAAACTGAAATGTGGGCATCTTTCCTCAACATTTTTCTACAGGAAAAGTATGTTTTTTATAATACAATGACATTCCATAAATTATCAAGGAAAACTCTTTTCAATGTATACTTTATAACATTTATACATCTTTAAACATAAACAAAATCATTAATAATTTTTCATACACATAGAGAATTCCAAGATGGGCATGAACTGCTGGTTTGTGCTGGTTCATCTTTTGGACACACAGGTCTCAGCAATTCGCAGCCCCACCTACTCCAGTGGGTGCCCACTCAAAGGCAGTGCCCCAGCTTTCCACCCTGCCCCCTCCGGGGTTGCCAAAGATTGGGTACCCACCAGATGAGGCAGGGCTGGGAACCACCAAACACCTGTTTATCCAAAGGACAAACTGGCACAAACTGCTGAACCAGCAGTACCTGCCCATCTCTGATTCCATCACCTTCTGTTCCACCAGGCTTTGTTTCCCAAGTAGTTCTGGAGAGACAGCAGCAGATGCTAACATGCAGAAATTAATGTCCAGAAATTAACGTCCCTGTACAGTTTGGGAACTTGTTTACTACACACAAAACATGCTATGTGTGCCTAGCAATAGTCCTGTGAAATCTTTTTTGTTTTTCTGTCCATATTTTTAAAAACGTTTAAACATGAAATTTTAAAACTGACCTGTACAGCCTAGTAAGATAATTAGCACAATGATTCAGGCCAAGGGTTAACTCAAAAGAGCACTTCCCTCGGTTTAGCCTGCCTGCCTGATGAACTGCAGAAACCAGAGGGCTCATACAGGAAGCTACTCAGACATGTCACCTAAATTTCTGCCAACTTACTGGATTTTAACAGAATCCTGCCCATGAGGTTTATATTCTCTCATCATTAGTCACGATGCCTGAACTTGTTCAATCCTGTTCAGCCTTTTCTGCTGGCAGACTGCTCATCATCCTACAAGACAACTGTATTGTAGTAACGAGTGCCTCCCACTTTGTTTTATTGCTTGTGGTATAGCAAAAGTATTCAATCTGGGCCACCATACAGTACTTGGAAATCTGATTCTCAAGATTTGAACTATCATGACAGCAATGTTACCTAATAATGTCCAGGTTACAAAAAGAAAAAGGATTTGCTTTTCCTATATCACATCCTAAAATGTCCCATGAGTTCATGCATCTCGTTAACTATCTAAAGTCTTTATTGTTTTCCTCCCTCTGACACATAACAGTTATATAAAATTCCGTACTGGGTAGTTTTAAGAGCATCAGCAACAAGAAACATTAGCCATCTCATCTGTAAAAATTAAGGACATACAAATAAATTACACAGAACTTAAAGTTATATCTTAAAATACATATGTAAATAGAATTTAGACTTCATAGATCACCTCCCCATGTTGATAAAAATATAATTCTTCATGTTTGTGTAACAATTCTTGGAAATCCTTCATACAAGTTACTTTCTTGTAACCTTACCAAACTGCAAGATAATGTTTATCCCCCTACTTCGGCTAGAAGCCTAAGGTTGAGGCAGCCTAACTTGTGAGCTTCTCACCAAGAACTGACATTCAAAGTAGAGGCATCCTGATTCATAAATCTTTATTAATCATGATGCTACAGCACTTTCCCCTCCCCTTATTTCAGCATATTTAATAATTATGTCTAATTTATGAAGGAAACATTTCACTAGGGCTCAGGGTTAACTTGTTAAATCAGAAATTTGATTCTAATGATTTGCACTGACATGACTACAATGTCGCTTAATAACATCACCAGACACAATGTGCTGGCATAACCAGGATTACCATTTCTGAAGGTTTATAGATGCTAACACCGCAAATTCTAGGATCAGACCATTGAGCAAAAGGATATTCAAGGTTTTATTCTGACTGCCCCTAGCAACAATATAAAAATATAATCTATGGCTTAAACCAAATTATACTTTAAGCTTAACTAAGGATCTTGGTGTTCAAAGCAGTGTTACTACCTGCCATTTTATACCTACATGTTATGCCATCTGCTGCACTGATGGGATCACTTCTCACAGATAATGAAACTGAATTGGCCTCTGCTTGTCACAAGCACCCCACAATTAACCTTATTTCAGTCCAGCTGTATTGAAGAATGTACTGTATCAACCTTGGTTTTGTTTTGTTTTAAAGTGCAGCATTCTGAAAATCAATGGACAAATACACGATATCAGTGATTTCCTTATGTTTTTAAATATACCAAGGTAAAAAAATTATATTTTATTTGTAACAAATTGAAAAAGTACATGGAAAATTCTGTATATTTACATGATCCAAACTTCATTTGAACTTCACCGTGAAGACATGGTTTTGATGAGGCAAACCCATTGAAAAGAGTTCTTTATCCACACTCTAAAATGCAACATCGTTAAACATTCCCGTATGGACCAAACATGAGGTGAACAGTTCCTCTGCAGAAGTTTATTTTTTGTTTAGCACCTGAACTATTTTTCGGCCATAATGGTAGTAACTGTATGCAGACGCTGTTGTTGTACAAGCTGTGATGCACCTTCAGGGATGAAAGAATTATATTAGCTTCCATGAAAAAAGACAGGGAAAAGTCTTAAGCCTACAGCAGTGATTTCCAAACTACTTGGGGCTGCAGATGCCCTAGCTAGCACAGCCAACAGTTAAGTGTTTCTGGGAGTTGTAGTTCAAGAACATCAGGGTGCCAAAATCTGGGAACCTACAGTCTAAAGTACCGGGGTTCCCTTGTATTAAATGATATTTAAGGCAATGAGAACTCCACTTGTTATGATTAGAACACATTTTTTGCTGTGGTAACTAAAACCTTATTTGTAAGAACTTCTGTGTGTTCTCTCCCTCTCTGGATTTTCCATACACAAAGCAAATGCTTTGATGCACCTCCCTGAAATAATGCTCAGCATTCATTTAGCCTTTGAGAATATCCAAAGCAATTTCCCCCATATGTTATTTTGTCGGCATTCCTTACAATAATATAGGCCAGTGAGATTACATCCCATCCATGTGCAGAAGAAGAGGTAGCATTTCACTTTCTGCATCTTCAAAAAGAGGCTAAGGCTAACTGTGGGTTCATTATAGCCACTGGCAAAACAGACAGCAGAGGTGATTCCAAGGTGGGACTGATTCTAGGATGTCTCAATCTTTTCTTACCACCAGCTCAGCACTAAAAGAAAGGCAAGTCGATGCATACGTAACCCCATTATTTCAATATTACTAAGGCCACAATTTTATGCACATTGTATCTGGGAGTATTTTTATTCAGTCTTCTCCAAAGAAAACGCACAGGGGATTGGGCTGCAAATCAAGTTAAGGCTAATTGTTTTGATTTGACAAGCCATACTTTGGTTGCTTCCTCTCCAAGCTTCTAAGCTATCCTCGTACAGATGCCAACCCTAGAGATCAGGAACCCCTGAAGTGCTCCAAGCTCTCTTTTTACATTCTTATGATGTTCCTTCTGAATTACCCTGCTCTCTTACAAAAACCATAAGGCTCACATACCATAATGTCTGAAGATACATACTGTCCACGTAATTGAATACTGGAGCTGCTAAGGATGCCGCCACTAAGGCAAGCTGCACCACTGTGTTCACCTGGTAAAAGATTAAAAGAAAGCTGAAGTCATACAGCACTAACATCAATTTGACCCACTGTAATTAGAAGGAAATAAAAGGACTTATGTGGCAATGCCCCAATAGCCTAAGTCAGGCTTACCTAACCTGGTGCCTTCCAGATGCTTTGGATTACAACTCCTATCATCCCATACTGGCCAGGACATGGAAGATGTAACATAAAACAACTGGATAGCATCACGATGGGGAAGGTGAACTGAGCACAAAGGTTTCAACTTAAAATCAAAATACAGAATCTGAGAACAAAATGTAGCAGCTCAGCACTTTGACAAAATGTGAAACCAGATTCTGTCATTCAGAGAACATGCCACGGCAAGGTCAGGGCACACATGCTATTCATACCCCTCACCTCCTTCTTGGTCAGCAAGGGAAGAAGAGTCAAATACAGTGGTGCCTTGCTTGACGACGTTAATTTGTTCCAGCGAAATCACTGTAGAGTGAAAACGTCGCCAAGCGAAATAAAAAAAACCATTGAGACGCATTGAAAACCGTTCAATGCGTTCCAATGGGCGAAATACCTGCTCATCCAGTGAAGATCCTCCATATGGTGGCCATTTTCTGGTGTCTGTAATGTGAGGAATCCGTCCCTAACATAGCGGGGAGCCATTTTGTACAGCTAGCAGCCATTTTGAAACCCGACGATCAGCTGTTTGCTGATCGTCGCAAAGCGAAAAATCAGTTCCCGAAACAGGGATCCGATCAACATTAAGCGAAATCCCCCCATCTAAACATCGTTCGCAAAAACTTCAACATTAAGCAGATTCTTCATCAAGCAGGGTAATCGTCCAGCAGGGCACCACTGTACTCCACTTTCCATTTTGAATCAGCCTCAGTTTCCTGTTATGTCTAAGCTCAAGAAACAGTGGCAAACCATCATTCTGCTAATAAACCTGACATGACTGTAGGAAACAAGTGTCCGGGCTGCACCATCTGAGTCAGTCCTTCTCCAAATGCAGGACAGTCACTCACAATCTATGAGTCAAAGCTGAGAGTCCAGTTCAGTAAATCTATCAACTGTATGGGCAACAGGCAGACACAGAACTACTAGACAATCCAGATCACAGGAAGTTCCAAGGAGTCTTGTCTAGCAGAAATAAAGTCACAAGCAAGTGTTGACTTTGCCAGTTGTCTCTCACAAGCTTAACAGTCCGCAAACACAGAATTTATAGCTCTCAGCTTGCCACTCCCTGGCATCCACTTTAAGTTGCTGGCACTACTTTTGCTTCAATGTTGTGAATCTTTGTTTTTCTCTAGTTTCACCTACTGTCTTTCCCAAAATCTCTGAGAGGGTACTGAACTATAAAGTTCCCCTTGTTCACTGTATCTCTTCATCTGCAAGAGGCCAAATTCCTCTTGGGAAAAAGTCTTAGCAAAGTGAGGCATGATAAAACTAAAACTGAATTATGGTTACAAATTCTGGTCTGTTTGAAATAACCACCGTTTTTGAAGTTTGAACATAACGTGAAATGCCAATTTATTAAAAACTGAAAGCAGAAGTCACTTTTTAATATAAAACATAGTTAAATACTAGATCTGAATCAGGCTATGAAAAAATTACACCTTGTTTGAAATGCAGGGTAACCACCATTTAGCCTTATTTCAAGGCATAAGGTGAAGTTAAAGGAGACAGCACAAAGTGACAGGCCAGCAGATAGAAACCCTCCCTCTGCTGTCTCCCTCAGAAGCAATAACTGGAGGAGGGGCAGGTGATGCAGGATGGCAATACTTTCCATCCAAAGTTAAGAACCCCTCATACTTTTTCTGTACCATACTGGTGCCAGCATTCAGGGCTGGCACTATCAAAATTATCTTGCAGGTTGGCTATAATTCAGTCACCACCATCCTCATTCATGTTTTATTTCATGAATGACAGCAGGTAGAAAGCTGTAAGACAATACACTCCTGCATCTACCTCTGCTTTTCCCCTGGTGATTCACTTGTTGCAAAATGACATCTCCTGAGGCAAGCTGATAAAGTAAGATAATCTTACCTTGCTGATGAATGTTGGCTTTAACTGAGCAGGTGCATAACATGGATTGAAATATTTACTAAGTGTTCTCTGTGAAAAACAAAGTTTGCTTCCTTATTACATTTGAAAAAACTCTACTTAGCATGCAAGCTAATAAAATACAGCTCAAAGGGCAATACAATCATTTTCCATCTTAACTTGCAATGCATGTATTTAATTAACACCATTTAGGTAGATGATACGTGGGGGTGGGACTGCCTTCTCTGAAAGACTTATACAGTGGTGCCTCACTTAACGTTTGCTTCGTTTAACGTTTTTTTCGCTTAACGTTTATTTTTTCAGAGGCAGATTGTGCTTCGTATAACGTTTTTCCCTATGGGCGATTTTCGCATAGCGTTTTTGGGACCATGCTTCGCTTAACGTTTTTGGTTTTAGGTCCCCTGCTTCACTTAACGTTTTTTTGTTTTCAGTTTAAAAAGTGTCTTAGAAGGGTCAAAAACGGTTCTAAATGCTTGGATTCGTTAGAGGACCCCTTAAGTCATGTGCAAACCTGATTTGGCTTTGATCTGACGTTTCGTTAATTTTTTGTGAATTTTTGTTTTTTGGCCCATAGGAACCAATGGACCTGTCAAAATCTGACAGCTCCATGCTTTCCTATGGGGGAGAAAACAATTTACAAAAAATTAACGAAAGTTCAGATCAAAGCCAAATCAGGTTTGCACACAACTTAGGGGGTCCTCTAACGAACCCAAGAATTTAGAACAGTTGCTGAGTCTTCATTAATTTTTTGTGAATTTTTTCTTCCCCCATAGGAATTAATGGAGCTGTCAGATTTTGACAGCTGTCAAAAGTTGGGGGGAAAAAATTTACCATTAATTAACGAAAAGTCAGATCAAAGCCAAATTAACTTTTGCATCCGTTTTAGAGGGTGCAGAAGCTAATCCAAGCATTTAAACCCATTTTGACCCTTTTATGACACACTTAATTTTGCAAAAATTGACTTCGCAAAGCCATTGAAACCTACTGAGTCAGCTACAATACATTCCAATGGAGGATACATTGTATCGTTTAACGATGTTTCCTATGGGTTTTTTCGCTTAAGGACGGCAATCCGTGCCTATTGGAACGGATTAACCTGTTTCCAATGAATCTCTATGGGAAATGGTGTTTTGCATAAAGTTTTTTTCGCATAAGGTTTTTTTTTTTGGGAACCAATTAAAAACGTTATGCGAGGCACCACTGTAGTTTAAAGTAGGCCTAGGGAAGGAACACAGATGGAAAAATGGAAGGAAATATTAATAGGCAGGGAAATGTGATTACTTCAATTAAATGTACTGTGACTTAGTTACAATTCCTCAACCCGATGCCTTCTAGATATTTTGGCTACAACCCCTAATATTCCAGCCAGCAGGGTCAGGAGATATAGGTGGAGTCTTCCAAAACATCTGGGATGCACCACATTGGGAGAAGCCACAATAGAATAAGGACAAGGTACAGGTTCCATGAGCTGAACTAGCATTCTGAGTAATAGTTTCCAGACACAAAGAGACATAATGCAAAAAGAGAGAAACGGCAAAGCCATTTCATAGAGTAGACTCTGTATGGCTGGGACAAGCCAATAGTTGCAGGAATAAATATGTTGGGATACCAGAGGGATATAGAGGACCAGATCATGGAGGGTTTTGAAGCCAGAAGAAAGGAGGAAGCTAAGAGTAGGAACTTAAAGTAGTGTGTTAACTGGCCAGAGCAACAGACGTTGAACCATCCTGGATGGGCAGGACTGGACCAAGTGAAAACAGTGGCAGACCAGAGGAGGAAAAAAATTGCAGCAGTCAAGGCAAAAGTTACCCAAGCATTGACCAGAGTTTTTTACTAGGGGATATAGGGAGGAAAAATCCTGTTTTTGTCAGGCTACAGAAAAAGGGGCAGAGAATGATCTGATTTGCAGAAGACAGATGAGATATGAGGAACAAAAGGAAGCAGAAGATGCCAATTTAAAGGACTTTTCCCAGTTGCTGCTTAATTTTGGTCATTTGGCTGGGGAGGCAGCTCAGAGTTGGTTCCTAAGGGTAAACTGTCTCTTGGATCCACTAAAATTGCCCTCCCTTATCTAACATGGAGGGATTTGAGATTTAATGGTGGCACATAATCTGGGATGGAGAGACAGAGGTGGATGTTTTAGTGTACAGGTGGTGGTATCAAAAGTTACGGAATATAGTGGGTCATTCAAGGACTAAGTATAGAAAGAATAGCAAAAGGCTGAATGAAGAGGGCTGTATTTAGAAGAACTCCCCCTATGGAAACACCAAGTGATCAGATGGGTGGGAAATGAACTTGCAGAGGGTAGAACTGCAAAAATCTGGGGAACAGACCCAAGCAAAGGAGAGTCAAATTATTTTTAAAAATCAAAATGAAATTCCAAGGAAACAACCATAATCGGACTACAGAGCTTTCAACAGACACTTAATAACAAAAGGCAACTTTAAATTTTCAGACACCAAAGTGCAACTTTTAAAACACACACACACACACATTTAAATTCACAGGTTGGGGAACCTGGGGAACCTAATAGGACTATAGTTCCATGAGCCATAGCCACTGGCTGTGCTAACTGGAGCATATGCGAGAGGGAGCCCAACAGCTTCTCAAGACCCACAGGCTCCCCATCCTTGCTCTAACCGTGACATGTTGAGCTCTCAAGGTACACTGTTTGTGATCCATAGACCAGTTATAGATCTCTTATTTGTACAAAAAAAAGCTTAGGACTAAATAGTCAAATAGGCTTTTGCATACTTACTGGTGGAGGGAGAGTTTTATATCGTACATAAAAAGCAACAGCAATTAACGCAGCATCCCTTAAAATGACGATAGACGTAAGAGGAACTGGGGGAAAGATGAAATTATTTTAAATAGCTTTACGTACACAGAGAGAGAAATAATTAAAATACACTATATATCCATACACATCAAACCAAAAATCCATTAAAACACAAAGAAAAGAGGAGGCGAAAGGGGGAGAAAGCCTTGTTTTCATTTATTTAATCTAAACTGGCAGTACACAGTTTGCTGGCCACATAAGCTTAAAATAAAGTATACTGTAGGACTCCCTCTATCTTCTGGCTCAACATCTGTGGGGTTCACTTATCCGCTGCCTGAAAATACAGTGGTGCCTTGCATAGCAATGGTAATCGGTGCAGCAAAAATCGCTGCAAAGCGATTTCGTCACTATGCGATATTAAAAAGCCCATAGGAATGCATTGAAACCCCTTCAATGCGTTCCTATGGGCTCCAGACTCACCTTTAAACGAAGATCCTCCAAACGGCAGCCATTTTTGCTGCCCGGTAAGCGAGGAATTCATCCCAGAAAACAGCGGGTGCCCATTTTTTTACCCGGCGGCCATTTTGGAACCGCCGATCAGCTGTTAAAAAATCATTGCTTTGCGATGATTGGTAAGCAAAACAGGGTACCGATCATCGCAAAGTGATTTTTCCCTATTTAAAACATTGCAATGCAATTGCAAAAGCGATCCCAAAATCTTCGTTGCTATGCAATTTCATCGTTAAACGGTGCACCCGTTAAGCGAGGCACCAGTGTATTAAATTAAAAACAAAGAAATACACATTTATACGTATTATCATGATGTATTTACCACAACCAGCCACTAGAGAGAGCCAGAGACAATGCTATATACAGTATTATAGCATTCAATACTTCCATGTTTTCCCGGGGGGGGGGGGGTTGTTGGAACCTACTCTACTGGAGAGAGAGAGAGAGGAAGGAGGTAAAAATTGCTAAGAACAGCATCCTTTCTTGTTATTTGGCCATACAAGAAGAGAGGCCACCATGAACACATGCTCAACCTATCACCCAGGGTACAGCTCTTATGCACAGCTCTTCCCTCTCCTACACAATGAAAGGATCTGTCGTCCTAGCGAGACTATGATGTCAGCAAGATTTCTTAACTTGGTTTGTTTTATTCGAGTATTTCTAAGTTGCCATGAATTACATCCAGACAGGCTGGATATTCCAAAGTAACAAAGCTATCCTGTACCTATCTTCTCAGAAAAAAGACCCACTGAGCTCACTGGGACTTCCTCAGAGACAAGGGTGTGCATTGTAGTTATTTTCTAACAGCTCTGAAACCATTTATAAAAAAGTGAAGGTTGCAATTCTTTCAGGGAAAACCACCCACCACTTACGATCGTTTATTCTTATCAGGAGAACCCAAAGATGTAGCCAGCTCAGACATGAAAATAAACTTAGTGAAATTAATTCAATAAAGAGCAAATACAATCAACATATTTTTAAAAAAATATAATTTTCAATAAAATATAGCAAAAATTATGACTAAAACAAGCCATGGGGTCACTTTGTCCAGTTACTGAATTTTGAGAGCAAATTAGAAAGTGATAACTATTGACAAAAAATAAAATAAAATGCTTCTACTGCTTATTTATTTTATTTATTTTTATTTTTTATTAGATTTTTATCCCACACCTTCTAGACAAAGTCTACTCAGGGCAGCTTTATAACCACAAATAGCCATTCTACAGTCATCATTTGAAACGAAGCTACTTTGCTTACCTGGAATAAGATTTGCACATGTCAAGTTAACATACAGGATACTGATAAGAAGTTTATCAGCCAGGGGGTCCAAGGCGCTCCCTAAAACAGATTTTTGGTTGGCCCAGTTTCGTGCAATAAAGCCATCCAACTGAAAATATAAATTTAGCAGTCAGCCAGGTAAAAAGCAAGCTTTTTTAATGCTCTGGAAAGTCTCTGCATTTTCAAAAGGGGTTAGCTACATGGCATAGGCATGTTGTATGCGAATCAAACCTGAGCACAAAACTTCTATATGTACATGAATGGTGTACTTTAATAGTGCACTGCCAGCCACATTAAAAAAAAAAACAAGGCAGTATAATACACATTTTGACTGGTATAACTAGAACCAAAGTTGCAGAGTGGTATAACAAGCTAGAAAAATCTAATATGCCTATTAAAAGCCATCCTGGAAAAAAGAATAATACCTTTCCTCCCAAATCGTCTTAGAAAATAGGCAGAGGTTATAAGCATGTTATCAAAACTTAGAAGTAGTTTTAAAAAACTTATATTGGCCTGTTTGTGCAACTTGTCCAAGCAGGACTGATGACATCAGCAGCAGCAAAAGTGATTTTTTTTAGAAATTAAACATTTCCTCGATCTGTCCCAAAGTTCCCATGGAATTTCTTTCATTGCCGGGAATCTGTGACAGAAACTGGGAAAGCTTTAATTACAACAAATTGACACTGACGATGATATCATCAGCCCTTTGTGGCAGAGTTGCACAAATAAGATTTCAGGTATTAAGGGTTGAAATCAGTAGCAAGTCACAATTAGATTAGGATCATTGATTCATAGTGAATCGACTCCACTGATTCAATGGCCCTACTCTAGTTGCAACTTACCACTAGATTTCAGAGAAAGAGTATTCAGTTTACATAACAAACTGTGAATCAAACAAATGAGTCAATTTTTACTTAACATTACTGCAAGAAAATCAACCATGTGAAACACACATTTACTTCTGTAAAGCATTAAAAAACTTAGAAATATTTTATTACAAAAAATGCTTACCAGATCTGTTATGCCAGCCAGAGCAAACACACCCAATGCAATATTAAAATCTTCTTCAACTATCAAGTAGCCCAAAACTGGTGCCAGACCGATCCTTGCCATTGAAAGAAAATTAGGAATTGTCCATGGATTTTCATACTGGAAAAGTAAACATAGATGACTTTTTCAAAAATCCACTACTATCTCAATTCAATCTGTTTTGGCAATAAAAAGTGAGGAATGTCCCTTTAATGCAGGGAGTGCATTTCCTTTCCTTACCAGGAAGAACACTGAGGATCAAACTAGATGTGATGGTATTCGAGTTACGGCTCCCTCTCTAGCCACTGAGACACACTACTCTGCTTATCCTGGGGTGGTTGAACCCAGGAGAATGTGAGCTATGATGATGGCAATGGCCTCTGCCTAACACTGGTGGCTCCTCATCACTCCAGTCTATTCAGACTTGGCACTTCTTCCAGACCTGATTATAGTACCAAAAACTCTCCAAGTCAAAACTCGGAGCTGGTTAAAGAGTTTATAGTTTATTAAAGAAAGCAAAATAGATAAAAAGACAAAAAGCTGCAAAGAAACATTTAAAAAAATACTTGAAGGAAAATATGATTCTGAGACAAAGTTCAAATACTTAAAATACCACACCATAAAATAAAATTAAACATCTTAGCATAGCATCAGAGTAGTTCCAAGGCACACATAGTACCCTTTCAGGCATCAGAAGAGAGCAGATGAGCAAAGCCTCTCCCTTACAGCCATTCTCAACAAGGGCCTGGGGCCCCTGGCAATTTGAAAAGGACCACAAACTGAAATCTGTGAGAAGGTGAGCCCCAAGGGTTTGAGGGAGGCCCTGGTAACTGAATCAATTAAATACCCAAGCAGCATGAGCCGGGCCCTTCCCACAGGCTCCCTGCTGTTTTCCTGGCTTTCTCAGAACAGAACAGAAGCAACTCTGTCTGCTGCCTCCCCAGTGATTGCTGATGCAGGCACCCTAACTGTTTTTACAGAAAACAAGCCATGAATGTAGTGAATCAGCTGCCAGTGGCTTCTGTCTATATAGTGATATGTGTCTATGTGTGGAGCTTAACTCGCTGACTGTGCTGGAGAAGAAATGAGTGATACAGAAAAGCAAATTAGTTTTTCTTTTTATTTGTTGTGCTTTAGTTTTTTAACTTGTTTTGGGTTTCCTGAGACTCTGCCTCCCCTGTCTGGATGTCCCTGCCAGGGTGGTGTTGCTACAAAAACACCTGAAGGTGCTGCAATAGAATTGAATGGTCCATTGCATACTGAGCTTCCTTCCCTTCAATCTACACAGAAAAACGCACTGTGCAGATCAGAAAAGGCCACATACACTCACATAAAAGTCAACCCAGGTTTTTAAGATCAATTTTAAGACCTAAATTTATTGACTTATACATGTATACAGTATCTGGAAGAGATGTGGTGGCGCTGCAGGCTAAACCGCAGAAGCCTGTGTGCTGCAGGGTCAGAAGACCAAGCAGTCATAAGATCGAATCCACGCAACGGAGTGAGCTCCCGTCGCTTTGTCCTAGCTCCTCGTCAGCCTAGCAGTTCGAAAGCATGCAAATGCAAGTAGATAAATAGGTACCACTTCGGTGGGAAGGTAAATGGCGTTCCCTAGTCACGCTGGCCACGTGACAATGGAAACTGTCTTTGGACAAGCGCTGGCTCTTTGGCTTGAAAACGGGATGAGCACCGCCCCCTAGATTCGGACACGACTGGACTAACAATGTCAAGGGGAACCTTTACCTTTTACAGTATCTGCTCCTTATTTTCTTTTTAATTTTTTTTCCTATTTTTAAAATTACATCCATATATCATTCTACCCATGAGTTCCTTGGCAAAAAAAATCAATATTCTGTGGAATACTTATATGGTTTCGTTGCATCTCTGCAAAACCGATCACTGCCTATGTATATGGACTGTATGACTACAATTTCAAATAAAAGCATGAGGCCAAGCAAATTTGGGGGAAAACACATTTGGATACATTGAAAAGATTGGTCACTTCAGGCCAATCCAAGAAATTCTCTTTACAATTAGATGAAACTACAAGATAACGATGCTCTTCTCATGCCTTATATGAGCTTCTGAAACAGTAACGGATGGAAGAGTTGCTGTTTGCCAGGAGGATTAAAATGGATACTAAGGAGCTGTCTATTTTTGAAGAAGCCAAAAGTTACTTAAGTGAAATCAATATTCTGAGAATATAACTGTTTGTGCAACTGTTGGTGCTGCTTCTATCGTTGGTTGATACAGAGGATAATCACCCTTCTAAACATAGTTATACCTTCTATCTTTACTATTCATTGCATCAATCACAGGGAGCACCTAGTATCTAACAACTTCAGCAGCCCTCCTTAAATTATTTAATTAAAAACACTTTCATGATTCAAGGAGATTTAAAAATAGACTTAATGGACTCCAACTCGTTTTACTTAAAATAGGAATTCACAAGTAACTGGATCCCTCCTAATGTGGCACTGCAATAGTTTGCAAATGTTACTTGTTTTTAAGGACATTATTCTGAATTGAGACATCTGTACTTTTACCAAGCTCTAGTTTGTTTTTACAAGGGCCAACATCCTTTGGTGTAAAGTTACCCATGTGCAAGCGGGCGATGTTATCAGCCGTGGCCTACGATCGCTCATTAAAAGTTCCTTTACAGTGGGGTCTTGACTTGAGACCTTACTCCGTATTGGAAGTCGGTTCTCAAGTCAAAAAGTTCTCAAGTCAAATCTGCATTTCCCATAGGAATGCAGTGAAAACCATTTGATCCGTATCTGCTCTTTTCCGTCCATAGAAACTAATGGGAAGCTGCTATTCTGCCTTCGACCACTAGAGGGGGATATTTTGTTTCTTTTTTTCTTAGGTCAAGAAAGGTTCAGGGAAGGCAGGGAAAATACAGCCCAAGCAGTACCAGGCAGTCTGAAGACTCCCAATCCACTCTCTAAACGCTGGGAGGAGTGAGGAAGCAGACAGGCACCCTTTTCACTGGCCAACAGTTAACTGAAAGTTCAAATTTTGCACTTTCCCTGCCTCCCACGTGGGTTTTTTTCAGTTCTTAACTCAAATCTAAGTATGCAAATCAAGTCAATATTTTCCTATGAGAGTGGTTCTTAAGTCAAAATGTTCTTAACTCAAGCCGTTCTTAAGTCAAGACCCCACTGTATTATTATTCGACCCCATCCCAGGTTCCGGGACTTCCTGGGAGTCCCTTCTGGCAAAGGAAAGCCTTCCATGCCCTAAAATGGTCACCACTGGCCCCGCTCCCAGCCGTGGGACCAACGGCAGCGGCTTTCAGGCACACACCCCCACACACCCACTACTCGCAACGACTGCTCGTGGAGGCGAAGGCTTGCCCGGCCCCCCACACGCACACCTACCAGTTCATGGCGTTCCGGTCGGTCCGCTTGTCCGGCGCTCTCCTGTTCCGACGACCCGGCGCTCTGCCGGGGCCCGCCATCCCGGCCGGAGGATGAGGGGCGCTGCTGGTCCAGTCTCCCGGAGTTCCAGCGGCGGCGGCTGCCGGCGGAGGGAGCCCACCCCGAAGCGAA